TTCTTCCGTACAGAATTTTAATCTTGTAGTTACTGCCTTACAAAATATGTTTCTTCAGACAAAATTAGGCATACATAGCGTTTTAGGAATTAAGCATAAACGACAGACCCAGTTATGTGTTCCTGTGTTCAGACTATTTAGTCATTGATAAGTTCTTTGTATTATTTTGAAAATATATATCCCACAAGACTAAAGATATTCGAGTTTAATACAGGAATGTTATTGTTTCTAATTTGTTGAGTTTATAGCAGAAGTGAAAAATATTTAAGAACTTTCGTCTAAATTTGATCGGATAGTTTCACGGTATTTGGGCACGAAGTTGATGTGAAACACTAAGAAGGAAAAATGTATTTGTAAAATCTGAGCGAATGAATTTAAAGTAAGCCCGACGTTTCGCCTGGCAATCTGGTCCAAGATTTTTCATGGAAATACAATCAAACATCAAAACTATCCTTTAAAACATATTGAAAGTAAACATAGATCCAGAGCTTTATTAGTGTTTCAGGGACCTAACAGACGTCGTTATTCAAGTTCAATGTTAGGATCTAAAAGATTATGTATAATATCTAAGGCTCTCTTAACAGGAATATTGGCGAAGAATGAGCATGCATCAAAACTTGCCATTAATTCATCTTCTATGGGAATAGTAGTGATAATGTCATTTAACTCATTAGGATGTTTCATTCCGTATTTGATTACACTTTCATATGGTTTAAGAATCTTGGCTAGGTACCTAGAAAGATTGTAGGTTGGCAAATTTATATAAGTAAACAGAGGTTTTAGTGGGACATCTGTTTTATGTATTTTTGGTAGCCTATAAAATATAGATTTAGAGAAAACCATAGAGATGATCCTTGTTTGAATTTTAAAGTTTGTAGCATTTTGGCCGTTTTGGCTTTCAACTTATTTTAAGTGGCTCTACATACGTTATTCACTATTTTTTTTCGTTAGGTCCACTGTAGAGGTATTAGTTGACTTTTCTTTCATAATTAGAATTTATCATAACAACAGTGGTGTTTCCCTTTCTGCCCCTATCATAACAATTTTTGTGTTTATGTATCTCTTCTAGAGCAAACACTTCTTCTTTAGATAGATTAAGTGCATTCGGTTTTTGATTTAATAACGCAGCTGAGATTTTAATCCTCACAGCATTTGCTTGATCACTTGGAACATGGCTTTAAACATGCTCGATCAGAGGAACAATTTCAGAAGGCAATTGTCGTGGTCTCTTGATATTAAAATTGAGATCCTTTTCAAGTAGTGATATATCATGTAAATTTAAATGTCTGTCAAATGGATTCACCACTATGTTTTATATCTAAATTCTTGGAGCTGTTTCTAATCTCGTCATTATTGGTTTTCGACGAATGTTGAAACATTTGTTCAAACTTTCTTATTTGACTTTTTAATGTTTAATTATATTTCCTTGAAAAGTCTTGGACCAGATTGCCAGGCAAAACTTTGGATTTACTCCAAGTTCATTCTCTGAGATTTTCCAAATACATTATTTCTCCTTAAAAGTGAAATATATATAAAACAAACTGATTTGTAGTAGTGCAATGTTTTGTATCGAACGGTAGTAAATTTCCCAACTATTTTCATGTAATAATTACAACTAAAACGTTTAATATGACACATTCCTGACAGATATCATTTAGTGACGATCGTCAATCATATTTAAACACTAATCATCCAATAGTTTGTTTGAACACAATAATTTTAGAAATTAGACCGCAAGATGTTAAAATGAGAGACTTTGCTAATCTCATTCGGCTGACAAAAATTTTATATCATTGTCGAATAACATTATTTAGGAAATGATTTCTTCAGTTACTTGAGTTTCAGTAGTTGATTAAGATAATTAGATTAATTCTATTTTTAACAAGAAATATCAAATATCAGAAGGGGTTTTGTGGAGATTGTAGTAATTTAAACAGCTGAGATCATGAGTCAATTGAAGCCCGACCACCATGGAAAACCTGGAAGCACTGGACGGCCGTTTCGTCCTATTGTAGGACCCCCAGCAGTGCGCATACACGATCCCGCTTGTGGGATTCGGACCCAGGACCCATCAGTCCCGCTCCAAGCGCTTAACCAACTAGACCACTGAGCCGCCATCCAACGGTGTTAATGCCTAACTTCAACTAATCCACGAAATTGAGCGACACATCCTCCACTGGTCACTGCTTCTCACTAGAACTCCAGGATATATATCTTTAAGCCAGTCACTAATGAGCATATGTTGAAGTTAGACATTAACACCGTTGGATGGCGGCTCAGTGGTCTAGTTGGTTAAGCGCTTGGAGCGGGACTGATGGGTCCTGGGTCCGAATCCCACAAGCGGGATCGTGTATGCGCACTGCTGGGGGTCCTACAATAGGACGAAACGGCCGTCCAGTGCTTCCAGGTTTTCCATGGTGGTCGGGCTTCAATTGACTCATGATCTCAGCTGTTTAAATATCAAATAATTTAACCTAGTTTATACTGTATGCTCTAATTTATTTTGAAATGAGTTTTCATAAATTTTTTCTTGTTGTCAAATCATGCGGAAGAACAGTTAAGCCTATAGGAAGTTAAATGTCTTATTATTTGACTGAATGAAACACGTTTCCATATAAGCGGTAAGTATGAATGGTCTAATAAGGTAGCATCAAACATGCTAATCAATATCAGCACATATACGTTTATCTCACATTGATTACTACGGGTTTAAAGCGAATATCTCAATTATTGTGAGATATCCAAAGCATCTATGTTAGCATACTCCTCTTGAGAAGTTGTTAAACATAATTGACAATTATACCATTGTATCGATTCAGACATATGACAATATGACACTGGTGTATACCTCGACAGTTAATTTGACTCAAACATCAAAAAGAAAACATAAACACTTACAACACTGTTTTTTCTTCAACCAATTCAATTTTAGTGCAGTTTTATGTATGTGAAACTAATGTTACTTTTTGCTTGAAATAGAAGACTAAGTTGAAGACTGATCATTATACAGAATTTGTTTTCTACAAAATTTCATCTACTAAAGACTAAAGGAACTTGAGGTATAAATATTTTGAATATTTTTACTTCAGAGGTTTTTAATTGCCAAAGCAATGACTAATCGCAACACAGTTTTTACATAGACACCTTATACAGTTATTCAGTTAGATTTGTTTTCTATAAATTATTTTAAGTAGTAAAAATAACTTTTCACACGTTTTACCTATATGCTTTTTACTCGTTTAATTATCTTATAAATTAAAGAAAAATAAGGACAACAAACACTGATGAAAAAATAACCGGTTAGTACATGTATATTTGATGTTTGATTTTATGCCATGCCTTTTCATATGAAATGTGCATATTTGAACGTAAAATGTGTAAACTAGGCTTCAAATTCGATTTTTCGCTGTCTGGCTTACTAATAACTAATAAAATTTTCCAACCTTGATTACTGATTGGTACATTCTAGCAAACCGTATGCACTCTATTTATCCTACTTCTAATACCTGTCGTTCAATCGATGATTTACTATTCTCTTACCTATTTCTCCTTTTATATTTCTTTTTTTTGTTTCATCTGTCGGACAGACATAAATTGCACTGTGTAATGCATCAATAAAGAAGGGTTACTTTACTATGGTTGTGGTTGTTATTACTGTTGGAATAACTAATATAATCCACATATTTATCAGGCAGTCAGACGAAAGACTGAAAAAAAACTTACTTTCACTATAAGACTAAAAATGAAAAATGGGTGTGATTAAACAAAATGCTTAAAGCAATGGTTCTTTTTTCATTAGTATATACATGCTTCTACATCGAAGATGTATAACCTACAAAATTGTTGTACAGAGAAATATACACAAACATGCCCGGTATTTGGAATAAGAAGATATTTAGTATTTTAATACTTTAGCTGTCGACAATGAATAAGAAATTTTTTCGAATAACTACAACTTATGCAATTGAAATTATACGCATAATTTTTTAAAATTTCTACCCATTCTACAACCGTTTAATGAACAAACTTGAAATGATGAACATATTGTATAACAAAACAAGTTGAGAAAAGTCTTGTGTTTAACCCTGAAAAAGATACCATGAATCTCATTTAGGAAATGAAAATATTTAATAAACTGATTATAGAGTCTTTACGTGAATAAGCTAAAGTTGATTATCAAGTCTAAACCTGTACAATTTGTGTATTGTAATTTAGACTGTCTTGTCAGAACAGTGTTTTGGTAAATTGAATTAATTGGCTGATACTAATGCATGATCCATTCTATCATTAACTGTATTATAAGTAATGCTGAAATGCTTTTCAAACTAGATAAAATAGAATTAATAGTAATAACAATGCTGATATTTTGGTAATAAAATCTTCAATAGTATTGAATACTTGCGATTCCAACAGAGTGTTTAGGTCTTTTAGTGTCTGAAGTTGAAGTTAGCAGTTTGACATTTAGAATGATCTGGTGTGAGGTTATTCAAACTGGCCGCCGTTCAATATATGGTATGAACACATTCATTTAAAAACAATTAAAATAATAAAAAAGCTGGCATACATTCAGTTAGATCCCCCACATGATTGACCAAAGTGCTTTTTGTAGAAAAATAAGTAGTAGACCATACAAAAGAAAAACGAAAAATGGTTGAGTGACTACCAATTTGAAAATACTAACTTCAACTAATAAAGAAGCAAAACACTTTCCTTTGGATATATTATACTGTCCTCTTTCAGGAAATTCAGTAAATGGCCAGTTAGTTACCCAGCTCACAGTGTTAACACGAGTAGACTTATTTAATAGCTGAGGTACTGGAGTAGAGGTAAAAGCTAAAGTGCATCGAATATACTTATTAGCCCTTTTTAAATTATGCATTCAACTATGATACACAACGACTCCGGCATCTGAAATGCTTCTTTCACATCCGTAAATAAAAAAATAACATAGATTAATACGCTCTTCATGATTTTCTAATATATTCTTTGTTTCCTCATAGGATTATACGTCTTTTACTCGAACATTGTTCATCAACACCATGGATAGTAGATGAGACACAACCAGATGGTTTGACTGCATTACACTTGGCTTCATTAAATGGAAATATGGAAGCTGTAGATCTTCTTTTGCAAGCAGGCGCTAGTCCAAATCTTGTAGTTCGTCGTCCAGCTGGCTTGTCTCCATTAAATGGATGTGATGAAGAAAAATTAGGCTCTGTATTTACACCTCTTCATTTGGCTGTTCACAAAGCACATCCAGATGTTGTATGCTTATTACTATGTTATAGAGCTAGAGCAGCTTGTCGTAGTGGAGCAGGACGTAGTCCAATGCAATTAGCTTTAAATGCTCTTGGACAAACACACGAGTCTCAGGTAAGTTAATTTAAACAATACTTCCAAATATGAAGGATTTTGTTTAGTTACTACAATTTTTATCAGACATCTAGGCTATTGATTTAAATATATTCAGTGAAAAATTCACTCAAGACTAGAGACTGTTGATACATCCATTAAAACGCCCGTTGCAAAATCAAAAATCTGGTTCTATTTATTTTATAAACACTTTATAATTTGGACAGTATATCATTGGGATGAGCCTTTCATCCTATTTGGAACTGGTCAAATGAATGTAACTTCATTCCAGTGTTGATGTTCACATACACAGTCAAACCCAGTATCTTTTGTCTCGAACCCCAACAAGGCAGATGAGCATAAACAGCCACTAACTTGTGTCAAATTTATATCCGTTGAACACAACTCCAGGATTTTGTATGATTACTTACCATTAGGCTTATTAATGTCAACTTAAACTCATGTCTCTATGGTCTTGGGACTTAAATTTTCATTTTTACAAGTTCTTTATTTATAAAATAGTTTTCTAATTATAAAAGAAATTGATTTTCAACAAAGAAGCGTGAAGGTTAAAAACCAATTTTATTTCCTTTGGTTTGGTTAACGGGACAGTACAACTAGTCCTTACACATAGTATGCTCGAATATCTGATTAAAAACTCATATCTGAGAATTCATTTTCATTTTCATGTTGCTGTTATCTTTTCCAGTTAATTTAAAATCAGTAAAGGTATATATATTATCATAGCTTATTCTTATTAAAAAATTCAGCCATGATAAGTTTTAGTACACAGTGTACATATTTCGTATTACATCTCCCACAGCTTATCCACTTTGAAAGCTAACTTCGAGGGTTTGAAGGTCTCAATGTCAAAGTTGGAGTTCATAGTTACTCTGAAAAAGTAACTTACATTAAGTCATGAAACGTCAGAAATACAATTTTCTACTCATTAGGATATCATAAGAATATTATTATTAACTTTGAGGTCAGTTACAAAGCTGTTTTTATTGAGAATTGTATATCTAATTGAAAAATATTGGAAAATGGATTAAGAATTCTGTTTAAGACTATTCGTCCATTAAGCTCATGTGTTTTGTTAGTTGTCGCAGTCTACACATAATCTTAATGTAGGAAGGAGGAGGAATTGGAACTCACCTTTTCGTACACTATAAATAACATTCCTTATGATAATTTAGCTGTAACTAATACTTTACAGATTATCATGTCCTAGAAGAGACTGTTAAATGTTTCAAATAGAAAAACTAGCCAGAAATTTGCCATTTATATTTAACTGCCTAGTATATGTACCTATAAGTGCCCTCAAATTATCTGGTTATATTTTCATAACTAGATCACACACACATTTCTCTGTCCCAAAGATCTATCCGTGTTCAGAATCGTTTGAAAGCAAATGATGATTTTTCTAGTGAGAATTACACAGTCGGTGATAAATCCACTTAATTAAAATGAGTAACACTTTGATACAGTCATAAACACTGATACAAAGATTTATATGAAAAAAGTCGACGAAATATATTGACATACTTACTAAAAGTCATGGAATTTTACGTCACTCAAGTTTAAAGTCAGATCATTTATCCCTACTGAAGCTGATTTATGAGAATTCCATCACTCTATGAGCTTTAATAATATCGACAGACGAATTTTAACTCAGTCACTTGGTAGTATTGCTTGTACGATTTATTTTTTTTTGACAACTATATTTTCTGAAGAAGTTCGGCAAATTTTTCAACTACAGTCTTTGCATAAATATAGTCAAGTACAGTTAGAAAGAGATTGTTAGGAAAACTTTGTTATTAAAATGTAAATTATTATAATTCATATAGAAAAGGAGTAAATATAGTTTGTCAAAGACGTGAAGAAAACTCAAATAGTGAACAGTAACCGAAAGTTCGGACAAAATAATAATTAAGAGAAACAGTTATGCTTGTATGAAGGATACAGTATTTATATACCGATAGTTACATTAAAAATGACTACACCAGGGTTAAAGTGAGTCAATGTTTTGTGCATTTAAATTAGATCACATTTCGGGCACGAAATCTAAACTACTTGATTTCCATACTGTTGGCTATGTTGACCGTAAGCTATTCGACAGTTTTAAATGAGAACAAAGAATTTTTCTATGGTTCTTCAATTTTTATGTTTCTTTGGTTTATATTGAACTCAGTACGAACACTGTTTTCTAAATGATTATCGTTTCAAGCATTTTTATACTTCAGAAATTAAAGAAGACAAATAGATTACTTCATTCACACCTTGGTAGCAAGTGGTCATAAGCCTATGTCCATGGTTCCCTATCGATTGGCATAAGATGTTTAACATACATGGTAGTTTCCTTGATTAGAACAAACTTAAAACAGTGAAACACCTTTTTATTGCGGTGTATTACCATAACTGAAATTGTCAGTTAGTTTTATTCTTAATCACTAGCCAAGAATCCGTTGTAATATATATATATATATATATATATATATATATATATATATATATATATATATATATATATATATATATATATATATATATATATATATATATATATATATATATATATATATATATATATATATATATATATATATAATTCAAACAAAGCAAACGAAATCCTCATCAAACGGCTAGATGTACAAGGGAGTATATTAGTTTTCAAAATTACTTTTCAGTACATTAAAAATAAATTCTGATAAAAGACCATATCTCATAGGGCCAGATGTGTCGGCTGTGATAATACTGTCAAATACGTGATGAAGGACACAAACGAAACGTTGAATCAAAATGAATATCACTTAAAACTTTGTAAATTGATGAAAACCTTGTAGTTTGTCGAGACCCAATATGCTGCTAACACCTGTTGATCTATTTTTAGTATCGTGAGTGGTGTGATTTCAACCACTCTTCCTTATCGTCTGTTTTTTCTAATGTTCTGATTTGTCTCGTTTGATTATTATTTCTCATATGTATATATTGTATCAAGTTAACGTGCGCTCAGATTGTTCGAAATTCATTAGAATTAATATGTGACATAATTCTGATAAGCTTGATTCACTCATTATAAACCGTGTCAGGTGTGAGGAAAGTATTCATCGAAGATAATATAAAATGGTCACACAACATCGTGAGTTGAGTGAAGTTAGACATCAAAACCACGGGATCCTGGCTCAGCAGTCTAGGTTCTAAAAGTTCAACTTCCAATTTCAAAGTCGTGGATGCTCACTTCTGAGTAGCCCCATACAAAGATGGAACGTGCGCCCACTGTTTTCAGGTTTACAATGGTTATCGAACTTAGATCGGTTCATGATTCCAATGAAATATAACAATCTCTACAACCCTATACTAATACTATAAAACAGTTGATTTCATCTGTAGATCTTTTTTGACTGGTTTATCGAAATTTTGATTTCTTAATAACAGACACATACATCTTTTCTATAAATTTCCGTAACTCACAATACTCAAGGAATTTATGTTTATACAAACATTTAAGTGTTTCTATAAATCCTTATTGTGTTTAATAACTTAAGATGCTTGATTTTGTGTTGTTAAGTATATTAGAAAAAAAAAAAGAAAGTATAAATAAAAACTAAAAGAGACATTTTTGAAGAGTTTCCAAATAAGATTTTTTTTCACAGAAATCCTTACACTTGTTGATTTGAATAATGAAATCATTCATTCAATGAATTTTCTGTAAAAAAAATAGTCTGAAATAATATATGGGAGATTTCGATCTTTTAAAATGTAAACGTTGACAGATTTTTGAAAGTAAATCATCACGGATACAAATTAGTAAAACGTGTCTAAAGTGTAAACACATTGTCCAATCAATTAATACAAGTGTAACTGTCAATTAATCATATATTTTCAGAAACGGAACAAGCAATTTCAAAGTGATGGTACTTACATCATTTTTGTCATCTATTGTAATGACTGTTTCGATAATCATCTCAATTTGTTTATATTTAATTTGATTTTTATTCATTACTTTTCTTCTGATAATAAAGTAGTAAATGTTGCGCGTGACCAATTCAAAACTTAAATATACATTTTCAGTTGATGTTCTTCGTGAAATTATCTCGTTTATGTTATCACTGAATACTATGGAGAACTAGATAGATATCTATTTCTAGTACGAAGTTCCTCATCAGTATTCACCTAAGAGCTTTAAGTTTTATTGTGAACACTTAGTCATTATAACCACTGGATTGTTGTTTAATTATACACATATCCAACCTCATTTCAGACATTTTGGGAATAAGACAGTTGTCATCAATTATGTTACGTAATTGTTTCACTATACCACGAATTAACTGGGATTGAAAATCAGTATCATTTATTATTAACCCAGTAGTCCTATTGGTTTGGTTATCTCCAAGACTAGAAGGACCAAGGTCCGATGCACAGAGGATTCATAGATTTTTATGAAGTCTCGTAATAAAATAAACTCCTTTAGTTTTAATTGGTGAATCAACCGAGACCAATTCATGGCATGTACTAAATACAGATAAAATTAGTCTCAACAAAAGCACTTAATATAAATCTATCATACTCGATACTTAACTATTGTATGGAATTTTTTAATAAGTGATGTAATGCTATAAGTACAGTTGAAAGGATCAAAATTTATTACAGGCTACTGTTTACTTTTTATATTTGATTGCAAACACTTAACTACTGAACTAGTTGGTTTCATCATAGACAGTGCTTACTGATGTTTATTTTTCATAAGAAAAGATTTGAGACGCAAATACTATTTGTTATTTGGTAATATCATTATTTATTTATCCCAAACTGAATTTTCATTTGCTTCTTCTGTTTTATTATTCTCCAATATTTTTTAAAAAGAGTGTAAATGTTCGACGTTTCGATGTCGCTTTAGTACCTTTCCTCGCATCGGTGGCACGTCTTCTAGTTCGAATGGCTGATTCACTTGCACTAACGCCCATTTCAACTGGAGTGCTGTCTAGTGGCATAAATAAATTGCGACTCAATCCAAACAGAAATAATTATGAAGAACAGTTAATTGAAATAGACAATGATCCTGACGATGAACCACATAGAAATACTACAACTGAATCATTAAATTTGGTATCTCCAAGTGCATTATGTCGTCGTTTAAAATCTACGATACAGGCAACTTTAGAAACAGGTGTTCCACGCAATGTACTTATTGCTGCATGTTTAGCTTCAGCGATAGGTGCGGAATCATGGTCATCTCATTTAGGAGCCATAAATTCTGAAAGTGCAGAAGAAGACAATGTAGATAATGTTACTACGGAATCAATTAGTGAAAATTTTGTCACAGATGTTTTTCGTGAATGCCGAGATCCAGTTTTACAGTTAGCGCTACAACAATGTCATATAGAAGCCTTAAATTTCGTTAAATGTTATCCTTCAAATACTGATTCAATTAATCGTAGTCCAAGACATGATATTAACCGACCAAATTCTCCACTCCTTTCAGCTATGTGTGATAGTGATGAAGAGAATTTAGTTCAAACATTTTTCCAAACTGATAACCGCCAAATACCACCAGCCGACTTATTACCAAGTTGTTCAGTTGTAGGATCAAATAATTCTTTTGTTATACAATCACCGCTAATAAATCAAGGAAATGAAAATTCTTTAAATCAGCCATTTGCTATTGAAAATCAATTTATTCCAGAACCAAATAACTTACGTAGTAATATGCCTCATTCTAATGTTTATGCATTGCTTCCACCTACACTTGATGATATTGACCTGGAATGGCGTGAATGTCTTGTATGCTCTGAGAGAAATCGAGCTACAGTCATACTACCATGTGGACATATCATCACTTGTGAAACATGTACGCCTTTGATTAAAAAATGTCTTCTATGCAGACAACGAATCGCTGGATATCATAAAGTGAGTTATCTGCTATTTTCTATATTTTAGAAAGGTTTCACTTGAAGTTTTTTCAGTTAGGCATAAATACAATATCGAACAATCGGTGTATGCAAAAAATTAGTAACACATTTATAACAACAGATTTAACTATCAGGTAGCCCCATATCTGAATTTAAGAGATAAGAATACACATCTTTTTATGGTAATACTGTGCCTTCAGAACAACAGTATTAAACTTATCACAAATATATTGAGAATTTATTGTTACATATCACTTTTTGTATCGCAGTTATATTAGCATAAAATATGTAATCATATCGACCTTACTTTCGTAAATCTGCGGTATCGGATTCTCGTTCTGAATAATCAACTTGGAACAACTGGTTTTGTTGTGTCATATTTTTTAGTTCCTAAAATAACTGGATATTATTATTTGACCATACTTTTTATGCCATCTAACAAATATATGTGTTAGATTGGTGGATTTTAATTATTTTCTTGTAATTCTGAAGGCCATCATCAACGCCTACATCAAATAGAAATGAAGTTGTTTTAGATTGTTGACCAACTGCTTATCTAGTTAATATCGAATATAACAAACAGCATGGTGAAATTTCTGATTTATACACCGAAATTTAAAATCTGGTTTCAGTCAGTTTTAATTTGGTAGATCTTAGATGACAGAGGGCATAAACAGGTAAACCAAATACCTACATTTCATATTTCGAGTGCGAAATTATACTGCGCAATATAATTTATTATAGTTCCTGACTAACCTCGAATTCATTAAATTAATGTGGGCAATAATAATATAAAACTTTTAATATTCATTTTCAGTAGTCTTAAGGGTTTGCATTAACTCTTTGATATTCATAAACAAGAATATCCATCTGACGAGATCCACATAAGACAAAATTCGCATCGTGGATTGCACTATAATTCTCAATCAAAATTTTGTTTAATTCGTGTTATTTCTACCATTTATAAGTAGAGCCATGGTGAAAAGCTCATTGCAAAAAAAACTATTTATCATCGCTTAACTTGGATTTTAGCTGGTCGGAATGAAAACATGTAACTTATTGTCATTAATCATCCATGACCAATATTCCTTTATTGAAATTTTCAGACAATTTTTTTTTTACTTTCAGTCTACAAATTAGTACGAATATTTTCTCAAGAGGTTACTAAATCCTCCTAGTCATAAATCATATTTTTTTAATTTTACGCATTTCATCCTAAATTGGTTAAGCTCATCAGACTTCTTTTCTAAACTATTGTAAACTTTCTCTTTTACAAACATTAGTAGTTAGGGTGATTTCTACACAAAAGAATGCTTGTAATTTAAGCAAATGTCACCCATGTTTAGCTTCATTTCATGATCACTTCTATAGATAAAGTATTCAGAAGGCTTGTTGTTTCACAAAAGTTTACTTTTATTTCAACTTTATTGTCAAGCAGTCATTTTGTTATTTAATGTGGCTAAATCAACAGTATTACTTAAGCAAACTATCAACTGAATTGTTTATTTTACTTACAATGGACAAAAAGATTTGACATACTGATTGTTTATTGTAATGTTTTATATCATAAAACATTGTTAAAATATCGCTTTTTTGACCCAATAATCAATATCGTCTTTTCATCATGTTCATTTTTTGTTCTAGTTTTCACTTTGTTGTGAATGTAATCTATCAAATGGTGTCGTTTTAGCTAGACCATGTAATCATATGCTTTGGTGTAAATCATGTCTAAAAACTAAAGTACAACAATTGGAAATTATTCATCAAATTACAGATGATATTAGCTTTTATGAAGAAGAGGAAGATGTAATGGATAATAGGAACCAAACTTCATCAACTAACAATACTACTTTAAACAATACTGATTTACTAAATATATCAGCATCATTGCCATCAGGGACGTCAACAATTCCAACAGCTACCTCTACGACACAATCTAGCATGAACTCAAACATTGATGAATTAGACCCGTTGTTTTCCACAGAACCTTCAACGTCATCACTTTCATCTGTTAATAGAACAAATGATATAAATTTATGGCGTAATGTACCACTAGGTCGTCTGTTATCGATGATAAATAAAATGCAAAGTTTACTAGACGATTTATTAACTGGAGGCATTTGTTTAGATGGTTGTCCCTTGTGTGATAATGCAGTTCAGTCACTATGTCCTGTATTAGTAGCATGTTCCGGTGTGAATAATCAATCGACTACAATTGCTCTTAGACACAATTCAAATCCGTTTACATTGAATTCTTGTAATTCGATCGAAACTGAATTAAATCCAACCGCATCAAATATTACAAGTATACTACCAACAAATAACTCTGTTTTAACTAATATTCAAACAGACATGCAATTAGTGCAGAATCAATTAGTTTCATGTAAGTTATTTTCCAGAATAAATCCATTTATGTCAATGTTAACATGACCAGACCTACTATAAGTATTCTGCGTTGTTTCCCTCGTACAATTTAAACTTGAGTTAAATTAATTTCAGATGGGTTCTGTGGAGATTGTGGTAATTTCAATGATTAAGATCACAAGTCAGTTGAAGCTAGACCACCATGGAAAACCTGGAAGCACTGGATGGCCGTTTTGTCCTATTGTAGGACTCCCAGCTGGGAGTCCTACAATAGGACAAAACGGCCATCCAGTGCTTCCAGGTTTTCCATGGTGGTCTAGCTTCAACTGACTTGTGATCTTAACCATTTAAATTAATTTGTTGTTTACTTTTGTTCTTTGAAGAAGTGAATTACACTAAGTTAATAAACGTCAGAAATCTAATCTTCTAATCACTGAGACTTTACAAATATATCATTGTTTCTATTTATTAATAGTCTATTTAATGCTAAGCTTATTCGAAATTATGAAGTAACACCTTGATAATGACACTTATACTAATACATAATTTATTTGGGGTATTTATGAAAAGTAGTTATGCTAATTTCTTCTCAAAGAGCTGAAACAAAGCTTTAAAAAGCAAATCAATAAATAGAAATTTGAGTAATTCAATTTAACTCTTAATGGTGAAAAAATACTTTAGATACTAAGAGTAATAGTAAAACTTTACACTAATTTTTAAATAATTACGTCATGTTTTTTTAAAGAATCGATTGATCTGAAAATGCGGAAAAGAGCTTGTGAATTTCAATATGTCTGCCAATATTGGTTCAGTTGGAGTAAAAGTAGAGTAGGTAAAACATTGAAATTTCAGCAATAAATAGGAAACTAGACTTATAGATGATGTAAAAAAACACCCAAAATTTTCTAATTATCTTTTTGAGAATAAGGAATTAAAGTCAAGAATCCATGTTATTCAACAAAACAGAAATCATTCATTGCTTTTTCGAATGCAAACTTTTATGACGTAGAAAACAACCTTGCTAAAAAAACGCTAACCAGAATAAATAAATTAAACCATTTAAACTCTGCACTGGGAGTTGAAGGAAGAATTATGATGCCTCAGGATGAAAGCCGAGATTCTTCGAAAGTCACAAGGCCGATGCCCCTTCTAACAAGAGCAGCAACAACGTCCGCACAATGTGGGAGACCGGGAGTACCAGTTAAATAGCAACGATAATGAAGAGATACAACTTGGTAGTTCGCGAAGTCAGTAAAACCCATTGGACGCAAGCTGGACAGCAAATGTTAGGTACGGAAGAGATGCTGCTGAACTCCGGTCACGAGGAGGAGAATACCCCACACACTCAGGGAGTTACTCTAATGCTCTTCAAAGAAGCACGAAGTGCACTTGTAGGACGGGGATCTCACGGATCCAGAGTCATCAAAGCATCCTTCAAAACAAAGAAGAAGGGGGTCATAATGAATGTTATACAATGTTATGCACCCACCAATGATAGCGACGACGACAACAAAGATCATTTCTACGGTAGTCTGCAATCAGTTGTACTGAAGTGCCCAGGAAAGGACCTGACCATCCCGTCAAGAGACATAAACGCCAAATTTGGGATGGACAATACCGAATATGAAGATCTCATGGGACGACATGCACTAGGAAAGAGAATCGAAAATGAGAAGAGCTTTACAAATCTATGTGCGTTCAACAAATTGGTTATAGGTAGCATAATAATCCCACACAAGCGCATACACAAAGCTACATGGGTCTCACCGGACCACACTACAGAGAACCAGATAGATCATATTTGCACCAGTAAAAAATCCACAAGGAAGACGTGATAAACAGGAGAATAGCTGAGATACCTTCAGATCAACGCCTGGTTGTACCCAAGATGTAATTGAAGCTAATGAAGCATTGGACAACTGGACAAACAGCAGTACAAAGGTTCAATACAGTCTTCCGTCGAGATACTGAAAAACTCAATCAATTCAAGATCATTCTAAACAACCAGTTCCAAGCCTTACAATATCTACTCGACGAAGAAACTACTATGGAGAAAAAACTAGAAAGGGATCAAAGAATCAATAACTCCAAGATGTCAGGAGGTGCTGGGCCACAACAAGCATCATCATAAGGGATGGATCTATATAGAAACACTGGACAAGATCAAGCAAAGGAAGAACAAGAAGATATCAATTAACAACAGCCAAACAAGAACAGATAAAGTCAAAGCGCAAGCTGAATACACAGGATCAAACAAGCAAGTGAAGAAGAGCATTAAAGCTGACAAGTGAGAATACGTGGAAGACCTAGCAACGACAGTGGAAATATATGAGACGACTATATGACACGATGAAAAAAACTGACAGGGAAATATAGTGAACCAGAGCGACCGGTCAAGGACAAAGAAGGCAAGATAAAAACTACGATCCAAGAACAGAGTAACAGATGAGTGGAACACTTCGACAAGGTTGCTTACTCCCTCCTTTTCTCCTTCTTCTAGTGTTTGACTTGATTATGAAGACCTCGACATCTGAGGGAAAGCACGGAATACAATGGACAGCTCGGAATCAATTAGAAGACTTGGACTTCGCAGATGACCTAGCCCTACTATCCCATACACACGAAAAATTGCAGATGAATACAACTAGTGTAGCAGCAGTCTCTGTATCAATGGGCCTCAAAATACACAAGGGAAAAAGCAAGATCCTAAACTATAACACGGAGAACACCAACCCAGTCTCACTTGATGGAAAAACTATGGAAGCTGTAGAATCCTTCACGTACCTGAGAAGTATCATCGATGAACAAGAAGGATCAGATGCAGATGTAAAGGCGTCAGTAGGCCTCAACATACACACAGAAAAAGGCAAGATCTTCTAATGCAACGCGGAGAACATCAACCCAATCACACTTGATGGAGAAACTCTGGAAGAGGTGGACACTCACCCACCCATCTGGGCAGCATCATGGATGAAAAAGGAGGTTCAGATGCAGACGTAAAGGCGAGGATTGGCAATGCAAGGACAGCATCCCTACAACTGAAGAATATGTGGAACTCGAAACAACTGACTGCCAACATCAAAGTCAGAATCTTCAATACGAACGTCAAGAAAGTTCTACTATACGGAGCTGTAACGTGGAGAACTACTACAACCATCATCAAAAAGGTCCAAGTATTTATAAATAGTTGTCTACGCAAGATACTCAGCATCCATTGGCGGAATACGATCAGCAACAGCCTACTGTAAAAGAGAACAAACCAGCATCCAGCTGAGGAGGAAATTAAGGAAAGACGCTGGAAGTGGATAGGGCACACATTGAAGAAATCATCAGACTGCATCACGAAGGAAACCCTGACTTGGAATCTTGAGGGGTGCGGGATCGTGGATGCTCACTGCTGAGGAGTCCCATGCTAGGACGAAACGGCCATCCAGTGCTTCCAGGCTTTCAATGGTGGTCTAGCTTCAACTGACTCGTGATTTCAATCAAAAACTTAACAGTCTCCACATCCCCTAAACTGATAACTATAGAAAAAGCGATTTCTACTTTTCAGAAAAAAAACACATTGTCAATTACATTTTTCGGGTTATTTTTCCTACATGAGCCATTAAGCTTTCACAAAAATTATTGATAAAGTTTGTTTAGCATAGATCATTTGCTTTTACAATTTAATCAGTCATATCATTACTTGTTTGTTTTTTCTTGGTTTTTTTTCATTTTATCATTCAACGAAAATAATCTATGCCTTAAGGTTTTTGTCTGTCCTCTTTTTTTGTCTGACAACATTCATTTATCTGTTTAATAGGGAAAGATTATTATATATTACATTACAAAATAATGATATTAATCATAATAACGTTCATTGTAAGTATATTTAGATGGTCATAAATGTTCAAATGAAAACTATAATGAAATAAACAAAAAGTCACTTGCAATCTTCAAATGTGAAACTGCAATGGAATAAAAATTATTCATTATAATCTTGTGAATATCTGTAGCTCAAGTGAGCAAATTTTTTTATAGTACGGAGTTGCTTGACGTCAGATAATACATTAAGCATGGCGTTTTTATGCATAATGTCATAATACTTTCCTTTATTTATTTATTCAAACCCATAAACATTAGTACAAGGAGGCACCAACCATGTATATTTGCGTCACACAAATCATTCGATCTGTGTTAAAGCTGGAATACTGCCCGGGTTGCCCAAACTGAAACAGGTGGGTTTTTTCGGAAGTCACACTCCGAGTCTTTGACCCATAGGTCTGATCCACAAGGCAATAGAGCAATGTTAAGAAATGCAGTCCCATAGTAGCTGGTGACCAACAATAAGTTTGTACGCCGTTTTTTCCCTCAGAATCTTGGAGCCCATTTGCTCCACTGGTTTGTAATCACGATTTTCTAACTCCCCTAGGTGGATTTTCCATATCCACCAACCCTTTTAAAGCGCCGGACACTTACTTTTCACCCTCTCAGTTTCGGAAGCAACACCCTTGTCGCGAGAAGGTAATGAGTAGAGCTTCCCTGACAGTGGTTTTATACACGTGACCATTTGAGAGCATTTCGAGAGGGAGAGCTAACTCTCCCCACCTCCGGCTATACCAGGGCGTTTGGTGGCATTAATTGGTAATGAGACTAAGATTGAATTAAGTAATGACCAGTGACAATAATACAGCTGTCATATGGGTGAGAACAGTTTTCCATTAGTGTTTTGTAAATAGGAATTATTTTTTGTTCTCCTGTGTTCTGTCTATTGAATGATTCGATCAAGAAACTTTTTAATTAAAACGCTTTTATTATACATATTCACTTTTAATCGATTCTCACCGAAATTTTTAATCGATTTCAAAAGGACTGTTTTCTAACTTGAGTTATCTTCAAAACTACCTTGAACATTTCATCTCAAATTTAATCGAAAAACCATAGTATCTTAGTTTATTGGACAAACGATGCTACCATCTAAAAAACATCATATTATTAACAATACTAGTAATAATCAATCCAAAATTACGTCTTGGGAAAATCAAATGAAGATAGTTATTTATTGGGACAAAGTAAACAAAACCCAGAAGTATTAATAATGTCGTACGTTTCATTCATCACGTTAGTTCGAATCAACGGGAGTTGATACGTAGATATTTTTGACCGCGAAAATGAGAAGCTGGCGGACTCAGAAATGCTTCAAAAATTTTATAAGCGTCTTGCTGACTGGAACAGAAATACAATTGCACACAATAATATGACTAATATTTTGCAAAGATATCTTAAGACAGTTGTACTAATTCTGAAGAGACTCTGAAAGTTGAAGTTCACCAAATTTCTTAACTCTTATAATTAAAATGATGGCTAACATCTTTCTGCCTATTCAGACAAGAGAACCAAAATAATTCCGATTGGTCTACCTTAATTAGTTTTGCTATGGGAAATAAAATTAATCAATTAAATGTATCAATATGATAATTTCCAGATAAATTTCAAGAGTGACCTAAATGTTTTTTAGGACATAATTGGTCCTAAATAATGTTATGAGGATGTTGCTAACACAATGTTTATGCTTATTTATAATACAAATGTCTTTAACATGTCGAAATTATTTACAAAAAAAATTATTCTTTATACCTTTGTTTATTCTACCTCACTGTTACCATGTTTAGCAGAAGTTTATTATCACTATTACTTTAATTAATGTAATTATTATCATCCTGAAAAATTAGTACACATATATATGCTGTTGGATAGTTTTGAAAATGAATTCGCTGAATTAATCTTTCTTATTTAATGTCTCAATCGGTATATTCCGTTTATTTACTTTCCATCATACAATTTATTACAAAACTGATTTAACACTTTACCAACAGGCTTTGGTATTTTACACAAGTGCACTAAAAATTATTACCTTAAGGTCAATGTTTACTAAACTTTGAGAAAAGCAAATGTACAGTTTCGAGAGTGTTCTGCACCATAAGTGATTTGAAGAGGAAATGAAATATTTCATATTAGTAATCATCTTTCCTACTAGATTGTTTGTGTGTACATGTGATTCATATAAACATAACGAACATCAGATTAGTGAATAACTAGAAGCATAAACACAGCAGGATAACATCATAACTAATTTTGTTTTAATGACTCATCAAAGGTCAAACATTTTACAACATCCCATTTTATATCTAACATAAAAACAGTGGAAACACAAAGACTCTTATTGATTACTTTTGTGAACAGAATGTAGTTGAAAAATCTTTTCCTTGTTTTAATATAAATATTTATAGATCTTGCTATTAAGGTCAGTTTGCACAGTTGAAAAGTAAGTGTACCTAGAAAGTTATGAAAGAGAAACCAATCTCATGATATCAACAAAAAAGTACACAGGTCTAAATTTTCATTTTATTCGAGTACAAAATTATATATGCATATACAACATTATATAGTAAAATAAGTCACTCATTCACATTCAGAAGTAACTCTTTGGTAAGGGAAAAAGGTTCGAATGAATGAATTACACTGAAAATGAAGATGTAGAACACCAGATTAACTTATTATCATTTAGATCCAGTAAACTCAACTTTCACTCAAGGCCCAGACTAAATTTCATCAACTATTTTCCAAGATCAGCGTATATGTAATGACAAAATATCTGTTATAATGATTTACATAACAATGTAACTGAGATTTTGAGATTGCTATGTAACAGAACTTGGTTGTATAATACTGTTAGTAAGCAAATCTTACTCATAAAATTAATGACTGTATGGTAAGACATCTTACCAAATCAAAGTCAGAAACAATTCCGAATGTATTTTAAGACTTTAATGCCTGATAGACTTTTTACTACTTAATTCATCATAAACATTATTTATCTCAAAAATTCTCACATACAATTCAATGACACTTCAACCTATTATTCTCTTTCACAAATTTGTTAGAAGAAACACTCATAAAAATTTAAAGTTAAAATTAGGTTATTTTTCAAGAAGAATAAAGCCATGTACAACTCCTAAGGGTATTTGGCATCTCAAAATTTAGAATTCTTTATGTATATATATATATATATAATTGTGGAGGTCTGTGATGTACAATTTGATTTAAATTCTTAACATTTTCTTCTTTTCCCATCAGCTAAACCCCCACGCAATCTGTCTCCAATCGATCATCAAAATTTTAGTGGATTAGTGAATCCATCTACTAGACAGGTAGGTTATGCTTATATACATCAAGATATGTAGATTGACAAGGGAATGACATTTTTTTATACAAGTATGTTGCATACACGTAATTACATACACAACAAAACTTACAAATAGTGAAACATTTCAAGCATAGTTATTTTTCATATGATTAATATTTGTACACTTCTATTATTTATTTGTATGATTATAGAATATGATAACACCAAATAATCAGCTTCGTCAAGGTGGAAGTCGAGCTGAAGTTATTGGACGACCGAGGGGTCTAAAAACGCATTTATGTGAACGTGAATTAGACCGGTTAAAACATGAACTTCAAGTAATGCGTGAACAAGTAAGTCATAAAGTATTTATTACTCGTATTGCATGACAGATTTATTATTAATAATTACAAATCATGAGACGATAAGTAATCTGACTTTTGATAATTTTCTCTATGACAATTATACTTGTGCTTCATTGAGATCATGGACCGATCAATGTTAGAGCAACACTGGAAACCTGGAAGCACCGGACGCCGTTTCGTCCTAGTATGATGCTCCCCAGTGGTGCGCACTGACGATCCCCCAGGTTGGACTCGAACACATTGTAGTGGATGTTACTCAAACGAATGATTGAAAGTAGTATGTAGCGGAAAGCGGCCCCAAGGCTGTCACAGTCGTCATACGGAGAGAAGAGGATCAGTACATCAAAACTGCAGCGTAGGCAGGACACTTGAAGGCCAAACGAGAAGATAGTTCAGACTGCTGAACCCACCTCAAAGTGCAAATGGATAATCGAAGACTATGTAAAAGTACCAGGTAAAGACTTTGAAATCTCTCACCGATTGTCACGATCTACACCAGGGCTTTCAGTCTCGCACCTGTACGCTCATATTTGTAGATTCTCAGGTAACCAGAGAAAGTAGTTTTCTTCACTTACTAACGTTTGACCGTCAAGAACAAGAGACCGTTGAAAAGACGTTATATTCTAGCAGCTTTTTCTTAATTATTGTAGATAATTGATTGATTTATTAGATTATGTTAAAATTCATAGGTTCAAGTCGATTTGATTGATCAATAGTTTGATTATTCGGTTGCAAAATTTTAAATCTTATGATTATAATATTTAATTTACCGAAACGGTGGAGAAGATTTGTAGCTTAGGTGGATGATATTTGGTTAACTATTGACCTTCTATAGAACTGGAGTGCTTACAATGAATCATAATCAATGTCAAAGTACTTAGGCTTAAATTCTGTTTTAAATCCGCTGAACTGTACTTTTTAGGTACGTGGTATGTTAAACAATCAAAATTCACTGACAAATTAACAATAGTACACCAGTGTGTAAGTTGACATAATCATATAACTTTGCGGCGTAAACGTCATAGCTGTCATTGACTAGCTTTTCTTTTACTAGCGATTGAATACAGACAATAATTATTTTAAAAATTGTCATTATTATAATGCACGTTACTAATTATATTTTTATACCGGCTGCACATTTTAGATTCGATGTCCTATATGTCTGGATCGTTCACGAAATTTGGTTTTCATGTGTGGTCATGCTACATGTCAATGGTGTGGTGATCAGGTCACTGCATGTCCAATATGTCGTAGAGCAGTTGAAAGTCGTATTATCCTATATTAAAACTGTGATTGGTCATTTTAAATATAATTATTCTATACTAAAAACACCTTTTATAAACGATTGATTTCATATGAGTAAAAGACAAGGCTATTCAATTATATCATAGTGGTTGGGTATCTATATATGGATAAATGTTAATTTCCATTTTAACAACGTGTCTGTATTCAGCATCTGTAAATATAGATAACATAAAGCGTAAAATGTATTTAAAAATCACCAGACTGTATTACAAGTTGTGTGAGATGAAAAAAGTTTCAACGGACACGTTTATTTCATTCATGTATGAAGGCATCAGTTGATTTAAGGTCAACTATTCAGTAGTGATCTTAGCTATTGAATGGTATAATTTGACTATTGTACTTACGACCTTTCGTAGTCAAATGTAATTTTCACTGTTATCTTTATTCACAAATCTCTGTATTACTACTACTATCGTTGTTAGTATTATTATTATTACAATTGGTTAAACATCATTAATAATCTCCCCAATACATGATTAATTTCACTTGGTATTGCTTACTTGAATCTCCCCAGTGATGTTTAGGGTTGCAATTGAACAGTCTCTTATTGGCATATATGCATACTGTGCGTATTGCCTCGATATTGCATTAATTCGCGAACATTATAAGCATAGCTAGCAGTGGAATCCAGGACGCGCGTTTCATCCTCTTTGTGACTCGTCAGCATCTCAGAGTTGATGTTCACTATGGGACTCGAACCCAGTACCGTTCGCTTCAAATGCCACCGCGTTATCCACTTAGAGTTATCTACTTCGCATTCATTCCACTTTATATCTTCCTAAAAAACTTTACACAATATAGAGTTTTCCATTAAACATTTGATCGAATTACAATAGCACTATTATCTCTCTCACCCTATCTGACTCATATTTATTGTCAAAAACTGGGAAATTAACATAAAATACTTTTCTTCGTCCTAACAACTTATGCATTATTCCTTAGTTAAACTTCCAACTGCACTGAATTTGTTAACTATCCATTTTTATTCAGTGTCTAAAACAAGATAATATAATAAATTAACCTGATAATAATAAAATAGGATAAAGCCGGAAAAGTTCGCTAATAAATAAAATTATAACATTCTAATCCATGTAACAAATTAAGAATAACATATATTATTACTATAAGCTTTACTCAAGGGAATATAGCATCTAAATGAATCTATGTCCAACGACTACAATAATCAAAAGTTTAATCATGCCTAATACTAAAGATGCATTTTTCAAAGGTGTCCAAAATTCTTATATTTTTTTCCTAATACGCACATTCAAGGAGAGTAACCATTAAAAAAAAACATTGTCTTCAATTCCTTCAATATTTCAAACCAATTAAAATTACGTATGATAATAACATGATTCTGACTCAAATGATTTAATGAGAATGTGCTCTCTTGGAGACATAAAGCTTATGAATTCTATCCAATGTCATATCAATTACGTGTACTCTGTAGACTAATGTAAAACAGTTGTGAAATGCTAGAAAGTAATTCAGGCTAATAAATTCATAACTTAAGTACCAAGAAACTTTCAGGAATACGCTAACTATATTTTTGGTATGATAAACTATGAGAAAATATTGAATTAATAGGTAAACCAATTTTGTATAACAAAAATAAGCACATATTTTTCGAAGAATTAAGCATCTTAAGTGATTATCTAACCAAACATAATTGGCTGGAATTTGTTGACCAACTGATATTGTCCTACAAGAAAACCTAATAGATTACTATATAAAACTCTATAAAAATCATAATTTATTCACGGTTGTCCAACTACTAACGACACATTCTATTCATAGCTTAAATCATGAATTGATTTCAGCTATACCACTATTGAAAACTTGGAAGGCCGTTTTGTCAAAGTAAGGGCCTCTTCAGAGGTACGCACCTACGAGATTAAGCGTTTGCGCTCGAGACTGGAGGTCCGATGTTTGATTTTCCTTTGTAAGGTCACCGATGAGAACCGTTTGGAAGTCCCATACTAGGACGAAACAGCGGTCCAGTGTTTCTAGGTTCTCGATAGTTGTCTACAATCTCCTTAAATGCCCTACTTTAATGATCTATCTCTTGCATTCATGAACAACTCACTCGTCTACTATACTAAACAGAATCGACTAGATTTAACGGGAGATTCACATGAAGAATAATGTTCGGTTTTTCTCATTAGCATGGATATTGGTACATTTCATCATTTTTGATGTACCTATTAAGGGCAAAAGAAATTAAGACTACTTATTAATGACTCCTCATTATATACAACTTACATGAAATATGAGACTTTTGTTACACAGCTTGAAATCGGTTGAAAAGAACATACTGTTCGTCTAAATCTTAATTTCTAGTATTATTTAGATCTCACACATGATTCATCATATACTTTTCAAATTTTATTATGTTTAGTCATTCACTACTATTGACATCTCTTATTATTCCGATGCAGTTTATTAAGTTGCTAATTTCCTCTCCTGAAGATAAATATAAGTTGATTAATTGGATTGATTTATATTCATCTCTCATTTATTCTAGTTTGTGACCGGCTGACTAGCTAACTCAACTTGTATGGCTTTAAGCTGTGTTGTAGAGATTGTTGAGTTTCATACTTTATATCGCGGTGCCAACTAAGTTAGACAACTATGGAGCAATAGATAGTTATTCCGCCCTAGAATGAAGCTCTTCAGCATTACGGATCTACTACCCCACTGAGGAGTGAGCTCATGATTTTCATATTTCGCGGTGAATGTTAAACCTTTGGACTGCTAAGTCGTTATTCAATGGTTTTTATTCGTATAAATTCACGGCTTTGTACACGCATTTCCCAGTGCTATTTATTTGTATAACTATTGGTTTTTTCAGTTCTGAATGACATCTTTCTGACCTAGAATCTTGCTAAATTACTCCGAACAAGATAAACACCGTGGAGATCTGGAGAATATTGAACTTAATAAATAGCTTACAAAACTAACGACTACTAAAAAAAGAACGATGAACAGCTTTTTTGATCTAGGAAAGGACTATCCCCACTCCAGGGATTGAATCCAGGACATTTAGATATAGCAGCGAATGGATTCTTTTAGATAACCAAATTAAAGACCCATTGCTTGACAGTGCCACTATTATTCAATTCAAAATATTCCCCCTATAAGTGATACCTATCCCAAACCTTACAGTAGTACTTAGTCAACAGTTTCTTTAGTGCTCCTTATTATTCAACTATTGTCTGACCAAAATTTACTCGTGATATTAACTAATTTCAAATACACACAAATTGAATAGAACTAAATAATAACGTTGACGAAAATTATTATTATTATTATTACAGAAAATTGAAGAAAAAAACCAAGGAAAATGGGATGGAAATAATGATGATGATGATGATAATAATAATATAATATTATTATTATTATTATTAGAACTTGTAAGGAAATCACGCAAACCATTGATTCACACCATCAACTTAGAAACCATCTGTTCAGCAAGAGATTATGAATAAAAAACAATGAAAAATCATGATGATAATTATTAAAATTCAATTAAATATTTTTGAGCAATAAAAATTTATTTCAATCAATGATTAAACGTCATAGAAAAGTACTGAATATAATACATGCAGTAAAGATAAATACATTTAAAAAGAAAACAAAATAAGGATAATATATTAAGCGTAAATTAAATTGTAAATGCCAAAATTAGTTAATTGTATGCAAAAGCTGGCATAAAAAAAGTCATTCCAATGAATTTTTCAAAAAAAAGTTTTATCTGAATACAAAATATTGAATAAAAATTACTGATAAACAGTCAGTTAGTAACAACGTAGAACTTCGTACGTACATACATCCGTTCGAGTTGCCATACCACAACTGATAAACAACTGGGATAATGTATGAAAAGTGACTTATTGCTTAATAGAATATATATGCAATGAAAGTATGAATTCCCAGTAATAAAATAATTTGATGGGAGTTATATATAGATGAACTTTGGCTGAATATAAGCGGTGGAGGATCTAATTCATCAGCTGACGGTGTCTCAAATAAATACCATATAGGAACAAGATCAGACTGTTTGAAATTCATTAAAGAATTAACAGGATTTGATAATATATCAGAATTTTGATAATTTAATCTTTCACCGGGAAATATTTGTTGAAGTTGAGGTGTTGATGTCGGTGTGCGATTTAAATAACCATATTGTTTAATATCAATACCATCTAGCGAGTAACCATGGCGATTATAAGCTTCTACAATCAACTAACATGAATAAAGTTATAAAATAATTAACACTTTATAATATTAACCCATAAAAAATAAATTAATTAATATGCAGTTGTGTTTGAAGTCTATTTTTGTTACATGACATTATCAGCTAAACAGTTACTACAAATCTAAGAAAACGCAATATGCTTGTTTTAACTGAACCTTGAGGGTCATGACGACTTCATGCTAGTTGAAAATGATCCTTTGTGGTGTCTAGAAATACATGTATATAACATTTGGTGCTTTCTTCTGAAGAATAAACTTTTCCTCATTTGTACAGCTTTTAAATCCATCGATATATAATCCCGAGTGTTATTGAATCATAAATTTTTACTGGTAAATCCCGAATTTCAAGTAACTTTAACTGATTCTGACTGGTAAGTAAAATGAAAGTATAATTCTTAGTAAATGGTCTATTTCGTGCAGAACTTTGTTAGTAATTAATAACCAGTTATATTTTTCATTTTTTCAACACTTTTAACCGTACTATGCTTTTCAAGTTGTTTCCTCTAGTAAAATGACGAATTTCCGTTTTGAGCGTTTTTGTTCTTCAAAGACTTCTTTAGATGGACTGCTAACTATTGGTGATCATTGATCAATGCTTATATTAATGGTCACTTAAACAATGACAAGTAATAAACACATTTTTTTATACAATCCGAATAAAAGGATAACCAAAAAATTATTTCACGGAAATTTGACAGCTCCATAATGAATTTTTTTTATCGAATTTGCAAAGAACTCATATAGAACATTATCTGTTGACTAGTGAATTTCACTTGAACTAGTTCAATATTTAGGTCAATTTAGATCAATTTATAATAACTAAACTAAATCAAATGAGCAAATGTTTAAGAAAAAGTAAAAGTAACGAAGAATATTCTATGATATTCTTATTTTCAAAATAAAAATGTCATTGTAGTTGGAAAATATTAATTAAAAAATAAAAAAAGTAGGGATAATATTACATAAACCAGTACGTATACTGATCAACTTTTGGAATGTGTACGATAGTCGTAACTAAACCATCCATCTCAGAGAACAAAACTATATCAAAATCATCCACCAGAGTTAAAAATATTCACCATTTCAGTTTTAATTACGTATGATCTTCAAGAAATATACAGAGCATCAGTAATAATTATTTTAGATAAATGTTTTTTGTGAAGAATCTATCGTTAATTATTTTTAAACATAAACTGTCTTATTAAGAACAGCGATATGGAGAAAGGGACAAAAGAAGTGTGAACACAAACTTGTTTAATTGACCTCTCTCCTTAAAATGATAGTAAAAATTTGAAACTAAATCTTCAGACAGACATCCCATGCATAGAGCCTGGTACAGATGTGCGTTCACTTAGGTTGGCATACTATGTTAGAACTACGAGTTGAAAATAACAGGATGAATAGGAAAAACGACGAAAATAGTGGATTATCAGTATTAATAATAGTAAGAATAATAATTATTATTACAGATTTGGAAAATATTTTCAAAAGAAAAAGCGGAGAGTTATGTATTAGGGAATACTGGCATTCAAGAACGAGAAGATAGACGATGAATATGGCGAGACTACAATTTATGGACAAACCAATCAGATTTAGGATAACAGGTTTTGGACTTTGGTGCAAAACTCATTCACCCATTTGTCTAAATAGCTTTTGATATTTTAGCTTATGTCAGTTCGTAATGGAAACCATAAATCTCATTCCTATCCCTAACCATCAACTGCAAACCATAATCCTTATTCTTCAAACTACTTTATACCCCTCATTTAGCCCTGGTAAGTAGGTGGACATTCTCAAGGTCACGAAGGCGTCGCCCGGATGTCGTCTATATATTATAGTCTCACCAAATTTAGTTTCAACTTAAAAAACTGGGTTCGACTTCTGAATATTCAATCGTAGGAAGAGACTTATCTCAACAGACTGGGTTACAGGAGAGAGTTCTTGACCTCCAACTTGGAAACAAGACAGTGGCTTTTTTTCTACGTACCAATGTGAGAATCCTTAGCTAATAAACATTTTATTATATGCCAAGCTACTCCGGGTTTCTCCAAGACATTCGTTCCACGCTAAATTATTATTTATCCAGGTAATTAATACGAATGTTAATCGAATTTATGTAATTATTACATCTGTAACAGACAATGGATCAATACTATTTGGTTGAGATCCATGAACAAATAATTCTGATAAGCACTCAACTTCAAAATAGTTATCTGTGCTGTGGAAAATTTACTATCATCCACCCGCTTGATGTTTATCTTGTTCTCTGTTACAAACAAAATACTTAGAGAAACCGAATCCTCTCCACAGATCATGTTAAAAAGAGTTTACGAAGAAAGTACCCATGCAGACAAAATGTTTACGATAAAATATTTGCCTACTGAAAGTTAGATTTAAGTAGGCATTTATAAAATCAGTAAAACATTAAATTAGTTAATAAAAACACATTATCAACATTTTCCTATAGTCGTTGCATTAACTATTAATTCTTAATTTCATAACAAGAGATGTAATTTCTTATGATTGATTTTTACCGGTTCACATAACTGTTACACATACTTGATATGTTTGACCTGGTTTCAATGGAGCCAAATGATAATAATCCATATAAGGATTATTGAATGATGGTGTATACACCTTCCACGAGCTAGATGGTGAAATATTTTCTATCATACTAATTAAATTCAAGTCATTGTCGACAGATCGAACACGAATTCTATAGCCCAGAATAGGAGAGCCACCACTCATTGGTGGAATCCAATTTACTACATGTCCATATGGATAAATTCCAGTTGCTGAGTGAATAACCTGAGTAATTAAAAGTAAACATAATAAAATACTCAATTTTCTGTTAACATAAATTTAGATGACAATGTATAAAAAAAACTTACGATAAGATTTACCTTTACATAGAAGATTAACGAAGTTTCATACTCATTGAACAATATTGTTTAAGTGTACTGCTATTAAAATTAAATACTCTTGACTTAATAATAATTTAAAAATAGGCATTTAATCTTTAATAAACTATTTGAGTTTGTTAGTTATTAGATTAAGGATTTAATTCCTTTAATAAAAAATATGATCATTAAAATAGTTTCGTAGGAACCAGATTTAGTTAATTTTCTTTCTCAGATTAATTTACAAAATGTTCATCTAGTTTCAGATTAATTTGCCTCAAACGATGTCTATGATAATAACAACATTTTATGTTGCAAGAAATAAAAATAACTTAACAATTTATCTTTATGATTCTTTGAACTTCATGAATACGGAACATCATTTCAAAAAAGTGACCGATAAATTCCACTTGTTACCTTTTTTAGTACTTGGTAATAAGATATTAACGGCATACGTCGAATTGTTTAGAACTACAAATGTCATCTAGGGACATTTCAAGTTTTAATGGTACGATACTTACAAAGCACCAATTTCTATAAATAATTTTTGACAAATGTGCGTTCTATTTCAATTGTAGTTCATAAAATTTAACTTCTCTTTCACTTTGAATATTGCTACAATTTCTGTTATTTTTAGATACGTGTATAATGCCGAGATATTGAAAACTTCACTTCTGATTGATAGCGATGAAAATCCTATTAACTAGCTACTCAGAATAACATATCTTTACCCAGAATATCAATTTCCCTCCTCATATATACAGACCTTCTAAACTGTTCAGTTCATTCACTTAAACATTATGAAAAGATGTGACCCGATTTTCACAACTTAATTGACTCACCTAGGTATTAAACATAGTAAAATCTGTGCTAGAGACAATCAACTTGTAAATAAGAAACATGGACAAGAAGCTATCACTTATGTCAATCACTATGGCAAGTATCTTGAAATTTATTGAGTTCGTTAAGTTCGTTTTCATTCTATATCATCATTCCACTTCCATTTGTTTAATAGTCTATGCTAATTAGTATTATGCAGTAACCCATTTCATTTTTAACAACTTTTGAGTAAAAAATGTAATGTTTAGTTGGCGTCTTGTAGTATTCTTGAGTTTTTACATAAACTGGTAAAATTTGTTTTATTTATTGTTATAATTACATTTCTTCAAATTTTGTAGCAGTTACTACCAAATTTGTGGATTTTTTAAGTCTTGATTAAAACGTGACAGCTTTCACATTTTTGTACTTTTAGTCTCTGTTCAATTGTTGATAGCCAGAGTTAACTTTAGATACAGCTAACAACTGTCATTTACGCTATAGGACTTTGTAAGTAACCTTTATGCAGTTATCTGAGGAATCCTTTTCTTTTCCATAGGTACAGACACATTAACAAAACAACGTATGTTTTACGAGTTGACTTTTGTAGCCAATTTACATATATTTTGTAATAATACAAGAGTACGTTAGATAGATAGTTTCACGCGTATCTTAGTCGTATAGTTGAACACATCCATAGATTTAACAAAACTTGTTATTGATTATAGATAGTTCGGTCACAGCTGATATAAAACACAGACGAAATCTCAGTATGGGATTGTGAAGATTGTTAAGTTTTTATTGAGATTATGAAACAATCACTATTTTAATCAAAAACAAGCCATTAAGAATAAGGTTATTGACTAGTCAGTGTTTAATCTATATAGCGGTTGACAGCCTTGCATAGTAGAGTTATTGATGTATAAAGTTCTAGAGAAATTAGAGTGAACAAAATATTTGCCCAAGTATTTGTGTGTATCTCTTACTTAAGTATTAATAATTTTAATTTCATCACTTATAATTATTAATAATTGAAATATTCATGGCTGAAAATATAATGCATTATTCTGACATCAATGTGTTAGTATTGTCCTGATACCTTTCTGTATGTTGTTGTAGAGATCACTTCGTGACTTCAATGACGTTCAACAATCTACAACCATATACTGAAAATTATCATGTGCTCACTAGTAACTAGCTTCGATAGGTAATCCTTGGAGTTACAGTAAGAAGCCATGACAAGTGGAGTTCAAATGTGTCGAGTGTAAGGCAATTACCCACTAAAAACAATGGAAGATGGTCGTGCAACATCGTGTATTGGTTCAAGTTAGACATTAACACTATCGGTTGACGACTCGGAGGTATGGGCGTTAGACGTTCTCGCGCGAGACCGAAGGTTTCGGGTTCGAATCCTACGTGCAGGGTCGTGGATGTACGCTGCTCTGTAACTCCATCCTAGAACGGAATGGCCGTCCACTGCTTCCGGGCGTTCAGGAGTGATCTGACACTGATCGGCACATGATTGTAATGAGACATAAGTAAGACTTTTTTCAGTACCGCATTTATCTTAAATTCCATTGTGCAAATTCTAGGAGAAAAACTTTAAAATCAGCCTTAAAAACGAATTCAGAAACGGTATAAAATGCAAAGTAATCAAATACATAACACTGAATTGTTTGTACAACATACCTCGACAGGACCTGGACGAGTACTAGAAGCCGTGGTGATTGAAAAACTGTACGGTATACCTTGTCCAACAATGCTACGTGCCAATAACTTTAGCTGATAATTAGTATCACCAAGTAAACCAGTCAATTCGAACTTTGGCTTACCAGAACTTCTTGACCCATCTAATGGATATGTAACAGGACCATACCATCCTTCAGGCCCACCAAAAGCTCTATAAGTTAATTCGTATGCTAAAGTCGCCATACCTCCAGTGTTAACAGGAGGACTAACATTAAAAAATATCGTTGACTGTGTGACTGAATAGCTTTCTAACTAAGTCGAAAAAAAGCAAAAGGAGTTTTTGAATTAAACTATGTTTATTTATTAACACATCTAATTATCAAAGCAGAATTCATATTGATTTTACTATCAAATGAACACATAGAATAAGCATATAGAATTTCAAAATCTAATTAAATCTTTTTTCAAAAACGATATGACATTACGGAATTTGATCTCCATGACATGTGGATCATTTGACTGTAAACTAATATTACAAGGATGAGGCGTTCATCATGAAAGCTGAGGGCCTTACGTTAGATTTAACGTAACGTCGTAACCATGAGCACTAGAGTCCCATTGTAGAACGAAGCGATTGTTCAGCACTTTTCTGGTATTATATTACTCTTCACTTTCGGCTAAGAAAATCCCAGATAATTGAAGCACAGTCAAGATTTAAAAAAAAACCTAAATTATAAGTTGAAGGTTGTGAAATTTCTTCACACAATCCTAATGTAAATACTTAAGGAACAAGGGAAAAATTATCACTTAATATTGATCGACCGAATTTTTTATTAAAATGGCAACAAATTGACATTCTAAACTGAAAGAACTGTATGTGAACTTGATTTCAGATAACAGTTGAAAAATGGATACTTTTTTTGTATATCGACTAAATTCTTGAGTTCAACACAGTTTTGGGTAAAATCAATATAATATTTGTTTTATACAAGTGATAATTTGAACCATATAGTTAGTTAATTTGTCATAACCTGAAACTGGACATAAGCCCCTTCTAATACAAAGATATACATTAATTCAAGATGCCATACCCCATATCCACACAGCGAGAGAAGAGGCAAAGTAATATTATTTAATATAATTTATGAATAGTTAAGCAAAGTAAAACTTACTCTCGGTTGTCCAGGAACGGAAGCCCGTCGAAAGCTAACCTTACTCTCGTTTGTCCCTTTGATATTTGTCGCCTTGCATACATAATCATCATATATGAAATGTTCCGTGTATAAACAAGGTGTAATTTGGAGCCATGATTGACTATGATCCCAATAATCATAACTAATTATTACAAATGTCGAATTTTGTCCATTTAATATTTGCTCACCACGACGATACCAAGTCCTAAATTTGAAAAAATACACTGATTAGTAATTATAACGAAATACTAAGAATTACAAGACAGTTCTGTAGTTTGGTGTATTGTATTCTTTATATGTGAATGAAATAATTGCAGTTGCCTAGTTATCTTGTCTAAATTATAAAGTGGCAATTCTTTTTATGAAATTAAGCGGTGATCAAAACCAAAGCACAACATAGATTTGCGAATATTTGTTTGAAATAAAGTTAACTGGATAGAACCTAAATTGAATTGAACAACATAATCATCAACTAAATTTTCATTTCACATCAATCATTAAATTTTAGACTGAAATGAAACCTAAAAACTCCAACATAAGTTCAAACAATGAAATGTTATGTGTAAAATGTTTTGACATAACGAAAGTGTACTGGGCCAATTCTACAATAAAATATCAAGATAGACGATTATACTACTAGTTCTCACGATCACTGTCCAAAATGTTATATATAATATATATTATATATATATATATGCTCTGAAAAAGTGATTACCGTTTATTGATTGGTCATATGTAAATCTTGATCAATTCATGCGTGTTGATTCTCCTTGTTGACAACAATAGACAATATTTCAATGGGTAAGCTTTAACCATAACATTATTGAATTTCAACAGTCAATTTGGGAAACATTTTATAATAATTTGTAACATTTTAAATTAACAATTATTGAATTCAAGTTTTATTACATAAATTAACCTGATTAACTTGAGAATAAAAAGTATGATAAAATCAAATTATTGACTAATGCTAATCAGATCAGTTTTTCACAATGAAAACTATTTAGTAGGATCATCACTTCTGAATGATGAGTCATAGTGAATGGTTGATTATCATAACATTGAAAAGTAGTGATTATTAAAATCTCTCAGTTAAAGCACGAAATAATAGAAAAATCAATTTATACAAGTGTTTACTGAAATGAATGTTTTAAAAGTAAATTGCTTCACAAACTAATATAAGTAAAGCATTTTCCCGGGATTCTGGAAGTTTCAAAATTGTCTGTTATTAATTCCACATGAGATTTAACTCAAAATTTTCAGTTACTATAGTAAGCACAATACTCTAAACTACTGAATGGAGATTTAAAAAATTAAAATGCTGACAGTACATATCTTTGAAGTAATATGTAATACTTAAAATACTCTGCCATTCCGCATTGTCTATAAAAAAAAACTACATCAAGTTATTAGAATAAAATGGGTTTTTTGGATAATATTCCAAATAATTCATTCACGAAGACTAAAATTGGATGACTTCTCTCAGTAATCACCAGTAAAACAAACGTACCATGTTGGATGTGGCATTCCACGTGATATACAAGTTACATTGGTTCCTTGATACCGCCAACCAAATCTTAATTCACTTAGTTCACTATCTGTATTTAAAGTTGAATGTAACAAGATTTGAGGCGTTTGCATCACTTGAATTGTTGTATTCCACCAAGAAGAATTACCTTGATTAACTGCATGACAACTATAGTTCCATGTATCGTCTAAACTAATTAAGAAAATATAAATACTTTAGGTCGCATCATTAATGGGGTTAGAATTTAGAGAAGTTAAAATTGAAACTAGATCACATAGAATGTAACTAAAAAATCTGGAATAGTTTTGGTTTGTAGACTGATTTGGAACGCCTCCAAAAAGCACGACGAAGCCTCTGAAGACCCCAAAGGAGCCAAAGAGATTCCATTCAATCAGAACCTGATAGAACCCTATATAATATCGACGTCGCATGCTATGATTGAAGAATTGTATAAATTTCCTACTTGCGGATCGGCTGGTTTATAATGATGTTATAGCCTATACTAAAAACAATATATACCACTGTTTTTCTGTACATTTTTGACTCATAAGCAATAATCGCTCCCCCTGTTTCCTCCGTCTTTTGATTTGCAACTGTGGTGTTCTACACGTTCGAGTGCCGATAGTTGTGTACCGCCGTATTCTGCAGTAATTAGGTAGATGACGTAACATTTACATATAGTGACCTGACAGCATTCATTTCTTAACGACGTAGTATGATTATGCTCTTAAAATTTTTATGATTGTTTCAGAGGAAACATATTCGATACTTATACCTAATATACCAGTTTACTATTGAGTTTACATTGGCTTCAGGCAGAACTTACCATAATATGATTATTAATCATGGTGCACATCAAATGAAATCAATTTCAAACATCAGAGAGAATTACGTGAAAAATCAGCTATTCATTTTAATGGAAACTATTTAATGTGAATTATTCAAAGAAAAGAAAATTAACTTCTTAAAAAATATAATATTAGGATAGATATTTGTAAATATCGACAGATCATAGCTATCTACATTCATTCTGAATTCATATTGTAGACAATGGCTAAAAAGTTGTTGGAAACTCTATTACTAACACTCTTGGATAAGAGTGCATATTTATTTGATCGTAAGGTTTATATTACAAAATTATCTTACATACTATCATACACAAACAAGTTTTTTAAGAAACTTTTGGAGAAGATACTGCAGAAAAAAGTAAATAGAAAATCCTACGATGAAAGATGAATAGGTCAACAATGATGACCTGTTCAAACATTACAGACTATCTTGTTCTATCACTAGAAGATTATATGGGCTTCCTTAAGTACATAAAAAGGATGCCTCATTTATGGATCACACTATATATAAACAGGTTCACTGGTAAAAAACTGAAGCGAAAACTTTGACTTGAAAAATGACCTACAGGTCTCACCAGTCAAATGACAATCCACTGTACATGTTATTAACATCAAAGCATCTGTTCAAAAGAGAATGAATATCAAAGGTGTAGAAAATACAAATTCACACAAGTATTAATCGAATATTTTGTGAATAAATACAAAAATGAACCTTTTTTCAAGTAAATACTCACGTCGTATTTTTAATTGTTAAAAATAAATTATGATTTAATGGATCATTCACATCATTTTCTCTCCACACACGAATACGTTTATCACCAGTTTGGACACCGCTTATGTAAGATGTGCTTGAATTAAAACGCTTGAAATATAACTCCAATGGCGTTGTAGCACGTACTCGGCATTGCACGGTAGCAGTACCTCCTAATATTTTTGAAAGAAAAAGTGCCTTATAAGTTTTAGACTAAAAGAGACTTGATGGAAATAGTCAACCTCAGAATTCAAACAAGGTTATTTCTGAAGATGAGATTGCTCACTATGATATCAAATTAAACTTCAAAGTAGTTTTAAGTGAACATTAGATTTTTTAACGTACCTGTATGTAAATGAAGTAGAAATGAATCCAATAAAAAGTGACTTCGAAAAGCCAATCTAATCAGAAAGTAAACACTAATCTTACATCTGTATCCAGCTTGATTGATTATGTCATTACTTTGAGTTTTCTAATTTAGACAATGAAATACATAAATTCCCTAAACGTGAACAATACAACTGATGAATTAGCCTTGATATTTTTAAAAAAATATTTGTGTCTTTTCAGTTTCCACTGGTCGCTAAGTCAATAATCTTAAAATATTTTTTATTATGTCACTTTGAACACGAGATTGTTATTTAGAAAAAGAAAATAAATTATATAGAACTTTACGACATGTAGCTCCGCCTGTAGCTCTTCCAGAGTTACTGCCGGTCCCAGGGTAAAGGAGGAGGGTTGGGCATGGGGTTAGTGACCCCCGAACACATTACGTCGGGAAATAGAAGCAGATATGAAAAAAATGAATAACAATTGGAAAGAGCTGGAAAGGATTGCCCAGGACAGGGTTGGATGGCGAATGCTGGTAAGTGGCCTATGCTCCTTCACGAGGAGTAACAGGCGTAAGTTTACGACATGTAGACAACAATAAGATTTTAAATTTTCTTATTTTATTGAGACAACATAGCAACATAAAAACACTAGTTGAACTGCTTACTCTACACTTTAAAATCTTTAAAAGCTTCAATTCTTGTGCAAAATACTGAGAGATTAACGTTTCGTAGATATAAAACACTACTAATTAAGTAAAGGATAGAATAAGAACAAAAAATATTTTGTAATTTCTTTGTCTGTATTTGAGTTTTGAATTTTAATATGAATTTTACAAATTTTATTGAAGCTGAATCCTGAATCTATTAACAGTAGTAATATTTATTAATTTGAGTACTTTGTTTTTGAGGAATCGTTCTTTGACCACTTTTATTTGATAACAAATATTTTTCAAAAAAATGCATTAGACATACTGATATATAGAAACAGCAATTAACATTTTCTAAATAATATTACTGATTATGAATAAGCTCTAGCACGATCATTCAATCTGTAAGAGAACTTGATCATTTAAGGAGCCTAAATGATCATGTTTTTACATGCCTATTTAAATAACTGAAAAGATTCATAGCTCATTTGAGTGCTTTTGGTTGTGTTGGATTTTCCGAAATTGATGGTTTAATTGTGAAGCTTTCATTACCATTCTGGGTAACATAATCAGCGGCGACCATATCCAGAACAACAACAAAAGCTTTACAATCAAACTACCGAGCTCAGAAAAGACAAAAAACCGGAGAAACGTCTAAATGTTTTTATGTTCTGTATGTATTTTATAACTTCATTTTCATATCATTTTTCTGTAAATTAACTCCAGGTTCAGTAAAATATTTGTATCTTGTTGGTCCTACTTCCTAATACCGTAAACAATCCAAGCTTAAAAATAATTAACATTTTTAACTCATTCATCAGCCTTATTTATGTAAAATATATAAATCAAGAATATTTTCTGTATGGAAGCTAAGGAACAGAAATACTTACCTAGTTCTACGTAACTATGCATAGTTGTGAGCGGTATTAATGTGGGAGGAAGTGTAACTTCGATAGGTATCTGGGCTTCAGTTGTTGTCACTAAAGTGGAACCAGAATACGTTGCAGGAACAGGAATAACAGCTCGGCATATATAGCTGCCTGAATCCTATGTATTATGAAGAAACATAATGATTATTGTGATTATCTTCAGTGAATTGTATACATATTATGCAAACAAAAATATATTTCTATGCAATGCTGTTGATGTTTAATATACGAGCTACATTAATTATTGTATTCAAACACAACTTAAAGTGAAGAATTTTAACAAAGTTAACTATTATTTTAAATGTCATAACCAATAATTGTAAAAATTTAAAGATGGAATTCATATGTATCATATTCTAAGCTTTGCAATGTTCGCCATTAAAAAGATCAGAAGAACAACATTTACGACACTTACAGTTTCATTTGTTCAACCTAAATTATTAAGATTTATTACCTTGATGTTCTCGCAGATGGATGGTTTTGATACCCAAACTAAAATAAATAACTCAAAACACTCTTTTAAATAATTAAACTAACTTCAAGTCCTTAGGGGATGATGTCGAACTACTTGAAAGAGACCCATCAGCTTCGTCACCACTTGAGCTTTGTTTTCAAAATACCGTAAACTTTGAAAATAAAATGTCATTCATCAAGTCATCTGACCGTAAAATCCCATATCAATGTTCTTCTAAGTTCATTACTTCCGCATCGTATAGATAAGTATAGTACTCAATAGTTTATCTAAGGTTGTTTTACCCCATTTTGAAGCTTAAAATGGGGTATTTTACATCATAGTGTGGTGTTTGAATGAACTAATGATACCTTTGTACTTGTTGAATGCTCGATTTTGAATTCCAAATACAATACATTCGCTTGTGCTTGTGTCTTACTTCTTAGTTCAATTGCGTTATTTCTGAGATTCCTAGTTCATAATACAATTCAAATAATTCAAAACATTATATTGGCGTCGCGATGGAGCCTGCGATGGAAAAGTTAGATATTCATTCAACTCCTGAAGCTTTTGAAGATTACTTGGAAAGGTTCGAAATCTGGAGCATGACCAAGAAAGATGTTAAAGGTGATAAAATTGTGGCACATTTTCTGACATTCATTGGGAGAGAAGCGTACAGCTTATTAAAAACTTTGGCATATCCAGAAAAACCTATCTCACTCCCTTATGCAACTCTTAAAGAGCTATTATTAAGTCATGTAAAATGCACCAGTTTTGAATGCCGTGAAAGGGCGAAGTTTCATAAGATGGTTCGTCAAAATGACCAAAAGGCTCGGGAATTCATCCTTGAATTACAGAAACAAGCTGCCAAGTGTAATTTCGGTGATCAACTCCATGTGCAACTGAGAGATCGATTAATTGCAGGAATTAACATACCGAGTTTGGAAAGAGAGCTGTTAAAAATGCCAAACTGTTCCTTTCAAGATGCTAGAACTGCGTGTATTGACTAAGAAGCAGTCAATGAAATTGATATCCAGTCGATGAAGATTTCTAATACTTTGCTTAGTCGTCGTGATGAACTACAGTCTCAGGGTCAATCAAACTTGCGTTCATTTAACAGTGATTCCTATTCTCGTGTAAATATGAAAGGTGTTTCAACGAGGAATTACAAAGCAAATCACAAAGGTGAGATGAAGTTTGGTAAATGTTTATCATGTGGAAAGTTTCATGCTCGCAATTCATGTGTATTTCCTAATGCTAAATGTTTTAAATGTGGTAAGGTAGGACACATTCAGTCAGTATGCAAAGCTACTGTCCATTTTGCTTCAAGCTGTACTAAATCTTGTAATTTAAATTTCAATAATTCGGATGTTTCTAATGATCATTTATCTTTATCAACGATTTCAAAAGACAGTGCAGAGTCATATGGCAGTTCAGAGTTAGATGAAATCCAGAATTCTTGTGAGACAACAGTTCCTAATCAACCGATTTATCAGAATTCTCATGCTATTGTACCAGGTATGACTTTTCCTAATGATTCACATATTTCTAATGAAATTACTTGCAATATTGAGGAAAATATGTTAAATGAACCTAATCATGATCGGAAACCTGATGTGGTTTGGATAGATGCTGATTTTTCTAACGATCCTACGCTCTGCAATGACAGTCCTAATGAATTTCATGAGAATATTTCAGAGGAATCAAATCCTGATGTCATATCCTATATTACCTCTCCTCATAATGCATTTGATCCTTGTGAAAAACCTGCTCAATGCGAAGCACGAGTACTAAGTGACCTCGAGTTTGATTACATTTCGGATGATTTCATATCAACTGCTGTTTACCCTTATCACAAAAACAGTTCTAATGTTTACTCTAAACAATGTGAGAAATATGTTTTAAATGAAGCCACATTATTCATAACTTGGGGATATAAAGATCCAACATTATTTCGTGGGGGAGGATAGTGTTGAAAAATCTATGGTTCGAATTCTAGATAATAATGATTTCATTACAAAACCGACATGCTGGTTGTATACAATTCCAGGTGAGTCGATTCGATTTCGTTTGTTAATTCCAATACTAATGAGCACTTTCTAGATACTACAAAGTTTTTATCTTATACAATGTCGGACAGACTCAGGATGAACTTAACAAGAAGACGTACAACCGATTACAAACACTTATACTTCTATTTAAGCTGTGGAGGATGTGGTGTTTGAATGAACTAATGATACCTTTGTACTTTTTGAATGCTCGATTTTGAATTCCAAATACAATACATTCGCTTGTGCTTGTATCTTACTTCTTAATTCAATTGCGTCATTTCTGGGATTCCTAGTTCGTAATACAATTCAAATAATTCAAAACATTGTACATAGTCAGTATAGTTTCACAACATTTTGTATGGGACCTCATAAGTTGTTTTTTAAGTTTTAAATGATGGTAATACCAAATAAATAGAATCAATTTACCTCAGGATAAGATACCTCTGAAATCCACAGTAGACCAACACGAAAATTTGTGTTCACTGAAAACCTTTTAGGATTTGCTTTTGTAATTCTGTTTGCGGGTCTCGTTCATGATACCAATGGATAGTAGGTGGGGGCTGACCAGACGCTAAACACTGAAGATATGCTTCTCTGCCAGATACAAAAGTATTGTTGTATGTCTAACGATTGATGGACCCGAAGTTATACGTGGACGGCTAATAATAATTTTGAAAAAATGAGAGTAGTTACATCATTCAATGAATGAAATAAACTTGTATTGTTGGAAATACAAGAACGGAGTCAGTCCTTATTTCTAACTAGAATATTTCATTTTAAAAGATGTTCGAATATTGTTTCCGAAAAAAAAGATTAGATAATGGCTGGAGATTTTAACACTTCAAACTTTCTCCATGCTGGACGTATTGAGAGATGCCTGTTCTCATCGTCCCCCAGGCAAATAATATCTTTAAACTTAAAAATTTCTGAGAAAATTATGAGTAACCTGGTAACTCAGTTGTAGAACTATGAGATATAAGTCTGAATAGATAAACATCATCATGGCTCAGAAAATATCTTCAGATAAACTAGTCGACTTTCAATCACACCCATAAATTTTTCACAATTATGAGCCTCAAAAACTGCTTTCCTATCCAGGCTAACATGTTGCCAATGAAAGTAAGATCTGACTAGCTACCAAGCAAAAATAAACAACCGCTAATAGAAGGTATTACGAAACCATCTGATATTATAAATTGATTACACTACTTATCTCTGCTCTGGGTTTCACAGTGTGCGAAATGCTCGTAATTGTTTCGGTAAATTGTTGTCTACTGACAATCATGTCAGCCAGGAACTGTACACACGCGTGTCTCGCATCTGTCCCAGTGATAAAACTAGCTAGTTATCAGGACCATCATCTCCTACATACACATACATATATATCTCGTGTTCATAGTGAATAATAGATAAACGGCTTGCGCACAAACCTTGTACTTCTACGTAAAATTTTCTAAATATACATCTTTCTTAAAAACGCTCTTGTCTTTCTTTAATTATTGTAGTTAATTCTGTTGAATAGGTATCTTGTAAACTACAATCCTATCAAGCAATAGATGCTATCTTCCCAATCTGGAAAGTTGGACAATTGTGAACAGTACAAAATAAGGTTGTGAACGTATCAAGCATATAAGTGAGTTAAATACATATGCTTAGAACCATGTCCGTTTATTTTCTAAAATTAAAAATAAACTTGCAAATATCAAGGGAGAAAAGTACGTTTTCGAAAAACTTCAAACTGTCTAATGTACACAAAATGTTTAGACCTTTCAATTTACCATTTTTCAAAGCTCAAGTCGCTTTCCAGTCACTTCAGACGGAATGTATTGAACGATGATGTTGATTTACTGAAAGCAAACCTGATCATCAAACCTGTTCCATAACAAGTGAGTGTTAGTTGCTACTGGGTGACCTATAAGTACACTGTGATTAAACGAGTATGACAGTTAGTAGATAGTTATTCGTTTCGAATTAGTTATCTGAATAATACACTATTTGTTTGCTCTCTTTATTTACTATGCTAATGTGTGGACCTTTTTACTCCACAAAGAAGTTATACAGGAAAACAGCTGTTTTTCAATCTTTTGGATTAGAAAGAACGATAGTACTTGAAGTAAAAATGAAAAGCGTCTGTTTTGCTACAATCATACATAAAAGGGTTATTGAACTCATTTTAGTGATCATTTATTCTTTTACCAACAAAATCTGACAGTACCTGAATGCAGAAATTTGCAAATCGAAGACAGCAGTTTGTTGTGGTTGTCTGGCAATCACCGTATATATACCAGAATCTTCAGTTGTTGGATTAATAATCGTTATCCCAAAAGTTGTTATGATATATTTTGTACCTGTAGTTAGCTGAACACCTTTGAAACGCCAGTGAATTGTAGGTGCAGGAAAGGCCTCGACTATACATCGAACTGTAGCAGTAGGTCCTCCACAGTCTGTACCGTTGCCCCAACAATTTGTATTCTCTTCTAATACAGGAATCCATTGGTCTCTCGGACAGTCTGTAGCCACGATGCTTTTCCTTACTATGACATTAACACTTCTACGACCCATTTCAATAAACTGATTTCCCTCCTGTCTTCCTGTACGGCAAACATACCTTCGATAGTAAGTTAAAAATGTAAAATTTTTGATCACGAATTATAAACAGTAATCAGTTATCTTAAAGCACTAGGTAGATGAAACCGGTCTAACCCCGTCGAACAAAGCATAATAAAAACCGACAGCTTGACCTCAATCTAGATTGCATCATAACTGTGGAACATATAGTAGATCACCGAAAGATAGAAAAAGGATATTTGTCAAGACTACTAAACATTATTTTGTGACGTGTTGCATAATAAAAAAGGAAGTTATTACGAAACTAGCCATTGCATTTCATCACCAGTACATAACATACAAAAGAAACATTTTAGTTGAAAACAGTTCATATGTTTTGTCAAAATTCTCACACTAAACCAGATTTTACTGTCTAATGCAAACACCAGGATTGCAAACCTCACACTATACATATTGTTTGATGGGTGAATTTGCGTAGAACTATTTTTTGCAAGACACCTAACTATGAATCACAAGACCATCGAGACTCTACAAGACAAGTTAGATGAACTTATCACGAATTATATATATATATATATATATCGTTCTATTAAATGAATTTGCTGTCATTGAAAGCATGGAACTTGAATGTCCTAAACATATCTGTAGTATATAAATGTAAGTTTGTACATGGTTTAGGAATTAAACTACAAAACCAACTCTTTTAAGTTGAATCTTGAGTGGAATTATATGTTTCAAAAATAAATTTTACTTCGGTGAAAACTTTTGAAACAAATTAACATAATTCAAACCACAATTGATCTGGACTGTTGATTAAAATATGGTTACTTAGCAGGTAAAATCAATTGTTCCTATGCAAAAGCAGTGTTTATAATCTCTCAATAAGTTACTTGATATGTTGCTCGTAATTAAGACAGAAAATGTTGAGATTGTAAGAAAAAGATTGCAAATTGCTTTACGAAAAATTGTGTCATCGTATTTGCGGAAACTAGTAGACTGTGCCATGCTTAGTAACCATATTTTACCGTTACTTTCTGCACTGTTACGAGGAATTACTTAATAAGGTCAAATAAAAAATTCGTATTTACAAAAATAAGTTTAACCCAGTTAATTTACGTACGTATATGTATCCAATAAAAGCTTTAAAAACTTCGTGAGTAGTGGATAAATAATTCCACAGACGAAGACTGAAGATGAACACTGGTTAAGATATCTTATAGGGTCGGTAAAATTTCACTGAGCCTTAACCAAATCATCCGGAAGTTGGGTCACTGAATTTCGAACAGTTTGTCGATTCCCGTCAAAGTCGAAGACAACCAACGCGCATCAGTAAATCATACTCCATGGACTGGCCCATGAGGTGGTGGTCACAGTTTTACTTGTATCTACTCTAACTAATATATTTTGTAATAACGTCCTTTGTGTTATACGGTCTTCAAGGCAGTCCAGACGTTTAGAACGATGGGCGGAACATTTTAGAGAACAGTTCAGCTGGCCTTCAGCTACTCTACAACTACCCTCCATTCCCAGACAATGTGAATGGAACATTGAAGTAGGTCCCCCAACTCTTGCTGAAGTTGAGAAGGCTATAGTTAATCTGAAACGAGGAAGGGCAGCTGGTCCAGATGGATTGGCCCCAGAGGTCTTTAAGGATGGTGGTCCAATTTTAGCGATTAGGTTGACTAATATTTTAGCTAAGATCTGGGAATTAGACGTTATCCCATCTGACTGGTCGCAATCACTTATCGTCCCAATATATAAGAAAGGGTCAAAATCATCCTGTGACAACCACAGAGGGATTAGTTTAACAAACATAGTATCTAAAATACTGGCCTCGATAATTATCACGCGCCTAACTAAGACTCGTGAACTACAAACACGAGAGAACCAAGCTGGCTTTAGACCTGGTCGTGGCTGCATCGACCACATATTCACCATTCGTCAGGTTCTAGAACACAGGCATACTATCGGCGTCCGACGATGGTGGTCTTTCTTGACTTAAAAGCAGCATTTGACTCTGTAGACCGCGAGATTCTGTGGCAGTGTCTGTCATTGAAAGGCGTACCTCAGAAGTACATAAACCTTGTGAAGGCTCTTTACTCGAACACTACTAGTCGAGTCAGGGCTTATGGCGAACTGTCATCTACTTTTGCAACCTCAAGTGGTGTCCGTCAAGGCTGCCCACTTTCCCCATTTTTGTTTAACTTCATCATAGACCTATTGATGGAAATAACACTCTCGTCGACTGAATTCTCGGGTATTGATCTCCTTCCAGGAGGTCCACTTATCGACTTAGAATACGCAGATGACATAGTCCTGTTTGGTGAAGACGCTGACAAAATGCAGAGTCTTCTGGTAGCACTAAGCAACAATGCCAGAATGTTTGGGATGCGCTTCTCTCCCTCTAAATGCAAGTTGTTGCTTCAGGACTGGTCTGCGTCAACACCTGAACTAAGGATAGGGAGTGAAGTAGTCGAACGCGTTGACAACTTCACTTATCTTGGAAGTCTGATCAGCCCTAATGGGTTGGTGTCTGACGAAATCTCAGCACGGATTCGTAAAGCTCGTTTGGCTTTTGCCAACTTACGTCACCTTTGGCGGAGGCGAGATATCCGTCTATCAATAAAAGGACGAGTATACTGCGCGGCAGTTCGTTCTGTTTTAATTTACGGCAGCGAAACATGGCCCTTAAGAGTAGAAGACACCCGTAAGCTACTAGTATTTGACCACAGATGCCTTAGAAATATTGCTGGCATCTGCTGGGATCACCGGGTAAGTAATAGTGAGGTTAGACGCAGGGTATTAGGGAATGATGGTAAATCAGTTGATGAGGTTATGAATCTTCATCGACTGAGATGGTTGGGCCACGTGTTACGTATGCCTGAACACCGATTACCACGACGTGCAATGCTAACCGGTGTAGGGGATGGTTGGAAGAAAGTTAGGGGCGGCCAAACCAAAACGTGGCATCAGTGCCTGAAGTCACTAACTTCTAGTCTGAGCCATGTTGGTAGATGCAGACTACTTGGTTGGGGTCCGCGTGACTTTCGTAACCAATGGTTGGAGACTCTTGGTGACATGGCTCAGAATCGATCACAATGGCGTCGGTGTATACACTCCCTGTCTTCCCTTAAACTAAGAGATTAAAATCACTTCATATCTTTCTTTCTACGAACTAATTCTTTCTTCCTATACTATATCCTTATTGCAATCCTCCTATATATTACCACCTCTGAATTAACTACTTTTATGAATCCGGTGTTCATCTTGCTGTGCTAATGAGGTATGGCAACCTGGACCGATGCACATATGTGCCTGGTCCTACGTTGTAGCTGACTGACTGACTGACAAGGCAGCAATGTACCTTAATACGACGAACGGGTAAACCATGTTAGGTGCTGACTACGAGGTGTGGCTTCGTACTTGACTGATGGTCACACCATTCTGTCTAACTCGATTACGACCCCAATTATTCGATCCTAATATGTAGTAGGCATATCATATCTCGTTTGCAACATTGAATTCAAGCAAACGTTGAACTATCCATAAACGACTTACGTGTTTCCTTTCATATTAATAACCGATAACTGAGAAGGATATTCTCATAAATTTTCAAAACCTGGAACAAGTTCGGAAACAAATGACCAAATACAGATCTCTATCATAGCACACTAATCGAATATCGTCCATTAAAATTTCCAAGTAAAAGTCAGGTCCCCGCATCGATATAGGTTTCAGTGATTAATATAGCACACCTGACTTAATAATGAGGAGTGAGTTCTCTTACAGTGAGAAAATATACATTCAGGCTCCTATGCGTATCCTATCATTATTGTTTTTGAGCCAACACTTCCTATTATATTCAGAGCCAAAAGCTACAGAGTAGTTATTAACGTTTCATTATTTACAAAAATTAGGGTTTTAGTTTAGTTTATAAACTACTGTTGATTTAACGAAGTGTTAGAAAAAACAATACGCAAAATAAACATACGTTCCGGAATCATCTGTAACCACAGATCGGACAACTAAAACCAATACCATAGAATCTAACTGATCTTGTCGGTAAACATGGGCTTTATTTCCATATCCAACAGGTCTGTTTAGTTGTGAAGGAGAAACCAATCAATGCTAGCTTTTCCGAATGGCGGAGTATCCTGTGCACAGGTAAGAGCCAAGTTATCTCCCCACTGCACATAATAATTTCCATCTACATCAACTTCTTTTATATTAAGTGCAGATGAAACTACTACATCAACTATTACTGAGATAACCAACGGAAGGCGCATTGCACATTTAGATTGCCACTGTTGTCAAAACCGACTGGGACAGTGAATACAAACAAATGCTTGTATACACAATACTTCTTCTTCTTCTTCTTCTTCGAAAAATGCTGTAAAAGCTGATCAACATTCTTCATTTATGATACTTTGGAAAAATAATTCCGTTTATTTGTTGTTCTGCCCCTCATTTTGTGACGTCATAGGAAAAATAAGAGTGTTCAGACAACTGGGTGAACTGTGAACCGAATTAAATGGACTGTAGCGGTGAATGAATCCCCAAAATAAATAGCTCTGTAAGGTTTCGACATTGGATGTTGACCACATTAGTTTTAATCGAATCACCGAGCTGAAGGCACTCTAGATGCATCCGCACTAGATCACGAGTGGGAACGCCGTACTCAAAATCCCCTGCAATCGCTAGCCAGATCAGATCAGTTGATCCACGATATATTGGTAGCCTGTCAAATATATTTTCGAACCTCCTCGCTTCTGTCTTTTGATTTCGCTTGGTGGGTACGAATCATATTGGTAGGTGTTACTGGTTAAAGCGTTGTCAAATTCCAAATACCTGTGACATCTTCATTGGTGAACCTAACGTGATCTGGTACGCCAAATTTCAAATTGTGAGTCTGTTCGTTTTTGGGATTTTATATATCATTGCCTTATTTTACTTTTTCATACATTGTGATACTTTTTTCCGTATTTTAGATATACATATATTTTTCACTCGTTCATTCTCGTACTTGATATTTCACCATGTTTGAACAGACACCCAAGGTAATTAGGTTAACGACTGTGTCCCACCTCGTTCCAGCTGATGCTCTCCTGGCCGGACAACATCGAAGCCTGGTTCCGCTACGCAGAAGCCGACTTCTACGAGCACGGCGTGAACGACACATGTGCACAATTCCTCGCAGTAATCAAGGCACTACGGCGCGAATTCAACAGGTACGTAACACCTAGTATGCTTAATAGTGATGTTTCTGAACCCTAATAAATATTGAAACGATCTATCCTTAAACGCGGAGACCTAACCGATAGACAAAGGTTAGACCAACTCCTTAATAACATCCATCTGCAACACGGTTCTGCCACAGACATGTTGCAATAAATGGAAGAGATTATCGGCCAAAGAACCTGCGATGATGGTGTTTGTAACCGGCAATGTTACACATCACATCACGACTACAGGACCACATGTATTCTCTAAAGCACGCCGACTAGCTCCTGAAAAGCTGAGGTTAGCGAAAAACGAGTTCGACCATATGATAGACTTAGGAATCATACGACCGTCAAGTAGCCCATATGCATCTCCGTTGCACATGGTCCCTAAAAAGGATAGCAACGACTGGCGTCCAACTGGTGACTATCGGCGATTGAACGCGAAAACCATTCCCGAGTGTTACACGTTGCCTCACACTCACGATTTGACAGATACCTTGGAAGGTACAACTGTCTTTTCGAAAATCGACTTGGTTAAAGCGTATAACCAAATCCCTATGGCTACAGACGAAATACCGAAAACAGCTATCATTACTCCCTTCGGACTCTATAAATTTCTGCGAATGCCTTTCGGTCTAAGAAATGCTGCTCAAACATTCCAAAGATTCATAGACGACGTTTTTCGAGGTCTCAACTTCGTACATGCGTATGTTGACGACTGCCGAATCGCAAGTTCGGACAGAGAATTTCATCTCCAGTATCTGGATCTTGTTTTCGAACGACGACGAAAACATGGCATTACTGTAAACATTCAGAAATGCCAAATCGGAACTGACTCATTAGACTTCCTAGGGCACACTATAAATGCTCAAGGTATTCGACCTCTTAGGACCAAAGTGGCGGCAATTCTGGATTGCCCAGAACCGACCACCATCAAGCATTTACGCACATTTAACAGCCTTGTAAGTTTCTATGGACGATTCATACCAAAATGCGCGTTACTTATGAAACCTCTACCGATCAACTTAGTGGAAATGCGAAATCCATTAACTTGGACGACGCCGCACGAAAAGCAGTCTCCATAACTAAGGAACTTATCGCTAAAGCAACAATGCTTGCACATCAGGACATTCAAGCACCCATTAGCATCGCAGTAGACACATCCGACTCGGCAACTGGAGGAGTCTTACAACAATGGGTTAACAACTCCTGGCAACCATTGGCATTTTTCTCTAGAAGGTTGCTAGACACCGAATCGAGGTACAGCACATTCGATAGGGAACTTCTAGCTATGTACTGTGCTGTACGGCATTTTCAACACTATATTGAAGGCCGTGAATTTACTTTTTTCACTTACCATAAACCGCTCACTTTCTCGTTAAGCTCTCGTTCTGACAAGTACTCTCCTCGTGAGTCTCGACAACTGGACTGCATTTCGCAGTTTACTTCAGACATTCAACACATTTCTGGAGCAAACAATGTAGTCGCAGATGCCTTGTCTCGCACAGCTTCCTTGAACAGTTTCCAAGGGATCGACCTTCTTAAACTCACCGAGCTTCAAAAATAAGACACTGATCTTCAGCACGAGTTATCGTTTACAACCCTCAAACTACGCATCAAACAGATGGGAACAGGTAAGGAAACCTTACTGTGTGACACATCTACAGGTAGGGATCGCCCAATCGTGCCGAAACATTATCGACGCAATGTCTTCAATATATTGCACAAACTTTCTCATCCAGGTGTTCGTGCAACCATCAAGCTTATAGTAGAACAATGTTGCTGGCCTGGCATGAATAAAGACGTGAAGGAGTGGGCACGCTCCTGTGTAAGCTGCCAAAAATCTAAGGTTATCAGAAACAACAAATGTCCCTTAGGCTCTTTCAAAACTCCCGATGCTCGTTTCGACCATGTTCACCAGGATTTGGTAGGACCTTTACCAGATTCAAATGGATACTCTTACCTCTTAACCTGCGTAGACCGTTTCACTCGATGGCCAGAAGCAGGACTTATCTAGGACGCCAGTTCGAATGTGAACTCTTCCGTTGACTAACCATACTTTGAGGAACCACTCGCTTCCGAACGACCGTCTACCACTCACAAGCGAACGGGTTGATAGAACACTTTCACCGACAACTAAAAGCTTCATTATCAGCTGCAAACGTTTCACAGTAGACCGACGCTCTTCCGCTCCTCTTACTAGGTATTCGCAGTGAAGTGACTGATGACATTGGATACACTGCGGCTCAACTCGTTTGCGGAACGACACTTCGACTCCCAGGACAATTCGTGGATCCTCCATCCTCTTCAATGAACATGGATCTAACCTCCTACATGAACAGGCTTACAAACACAATGCGTTCAGTTAAACCTGTTTCCACTCGACCTCAATCAACTGATGATTTCGTTCAACCTGACTTACGATATAGTACACACGTCTCCGTACGTCGAGACTCGCATCGACGACCTTTCGAATCAGCATACGAAGGACCCTTCAAAGTTCTTCAACGCGAACCTAAGTACTATATAATCGATAAGAACGGCACAAACGATAGCATCAGCATCGATCGCCTCAAAGCAGTGTATTTAGAAGGAAATCCTATCTACGTCCATTCCCCTTCGGTACAGTCGAACGACACGACTCCGACACTTATAATACCTCATCCGACAACTAGCACACATGACGATACTTCGACAGCATCTGGAAATAAACCTAAAACAACGCGTTCTGGATGAAGAGTAAGATTTCCAGAACATTTAAACGACTAGTGCACATAAGATACCAGTTAACATTTTGCTTCATCTCGATTTTCCATGGCATTATATATAATATTTCTTTAAAATCAATTTTTATATGCTTATATTTATATATGTTTATTATTTTGCTGATATGTATATTAAAAAGTTTTTTTAAAAACAAGATAATACAGTAAACCAGAGAGACTGGTCGAGGACAAAGAAGGCAGGCCAATCACTGAACTTCAACAACAGCGGAACAGATGGGTAGAATACTTCGAGGAACTCCTGAATAGGCTGGCTCCAATGAATCCACCGGCATCGAAGCAGCGCACACAGATCTTCCTATATATGTCAATCCACCAACGAAGGAAGAAATCAGAATGGCCATCAGACAAATCAAGAGCAGGAAATCAGCAGGACCCGACAATATACCAGCTGAAGTACTGAAGTCAGACATCGAAGTAACTACAAACATGCTTCACTTTCTATTCAAAAAGATTTGGGAGGAGGAACAAGTGCCGATGGACTGGAGAGAAGAATACCTCATCAAGATTCCAAAGAAAGGAGACCTGAGCAAATGTTCCTGAGTTCCTGAGAAGATTGTCAGTATTTCCCGGAACTCATATGACGGACTACAGTGCAAGGTCGTGCATGGAGGACAGCTGACAGATGCATTCCAAGTAAAGACAGGAGTCAGACAAGGCTGTCTACTCTCTCCCTTCCTCTTTCTTCTGGTGGTCGACTGGATTATGAAGACGTCGACATTTGAGGGAAAACACGGAATACAATGGACAGCTCAGAATCAATTAGACCATTTGAACTTCGCAGGTGACCTAGCCTTGCTATCGCATACACACGAACAGATGCAGATGAAGACAGCCAGTGTAGCAGCAGTCTCTGCATCAGTAGGCCTCAGTATACACAAGGGCAAAACCAAGGTACTCAAATTCAAAGCAGAGAACAGCAATCCAATCACTCTTGATGGCGAAACTCTGGAAGATGTAGAGTCCTTCACATACCTGGGAAGCATCATCGATGAACAAGGAGGATAAGATGCAGACGTAAAGGCGAGGATTGGCA